AAACTGAAGTCTTTTTTTGTCACGGTTCTGGGTCTTTCTGACCCAGCTTTTTGAGTTCTTGTGTTTTTTTTTATATTATGGTTTATGTTTTGAGTCCTTTGTTGTACTGTGTTTGTTGTTTCTTTAGGTTTCAGTTATGGTTATCATAGGTTTATTTCTTAGGTTTTGTAATATGGCTTCCCTGTGTTCCATGTTGCGTCTACTATGGCTTTCTGTACCATGTTTCAGGTTCCTATGTTCTGTCTCTCCAGTTGCTGTTAAGTTTACATGTCTAGAGTTCAGTCAGTGTGTTTCCTGTTTTACTTTGAAGGTCCGTGTCTCATGTCAGTGTTTCTAGTTTTGCTTCCCTTGTCTCGTCCAGCCTGATTACTCCCAGCTGTGCTCTCCTTCTGTGTCTCATTCCCTCGTTATCCCTCAGTATATTTAAGCCCTGTGTTTCTCTTTGTCAGTGTTGTAGTCTCCCTCATGGCTGTGTTTCCCTGTGTGTCAGTTTATCCATGTCCCAGTTTAGTTTTGTTATATTTTTTGTGCCATTCTGCAATAAAGCAGCTTTTTGAGTTTAATTCCTGCGTGGTGAGTTTTGCGTTTGGGTCCTTCTCCTGCCTGCACACAGCCGAAACATGACATTTTTACTAACTTCAACAATCCTTGGTTGTCTGTTGGATTTAATATATTCCATAGGCCTACAGTATGTTGGTACCACTTGGGTTACTGGATTACTTTTTAATTAGCATAGATCAATACTGCTGTTAAACCAGCATCAAAAGGAGACACTCTGAGGTTTAACCCCAGTTTAAACACTCTAGTTTTTCTTGTGTTTTTTGTCATCATAGTTATTTTAACAGTCCCAGCTTAAAGCAGTTCACTGACTGCACAACAGATGTTTTCCAAAACTGATGTTGTTGCCGTGGTGGCTGTGAGCATGTTTAGCTGACTTCACGGCGTACAGTTTATTATATGAACTTTAAATGTGTAAACAACGGTTCTGAAAAAGTGTAAATAAAACAATAATGCAATCATGTGTAAATCTCATAAACCTAGATTTTATTCACAATAGAACAGGAAACATCTCATATGTTCGAACTGAGAAATTTTATTATAAGCAACCACACATGTAAAGAAGGCTGTAAAAGCTGAAGGAACATTTTTCAACTAACACTGTTTCCTCTGCACTAAAGAGAAGGAACCATCAGGTTTGGTATCAGCGCTCAGTTTAAAAGCCTGCATCTCTGATGGTAAAGGGGTTCACTGGTGCCTCTGAGATTGGCAGCATGCACATCTGGAAAGCCACCATCAATGCTAAAAGGTATATACAGGCTTTAGAAGACATGGTGCAGTTTAAACATTTGGATTTCTTTTAGCTTGTGTTTTGAATTAAATATGGGTTGATGAGACTTGTATATTGCTGGTTTCTGTTTTTATTTACATTTTCCTTTCCAGTTCTTGAACTTGGAAATGGAAGAAACCATTAGTATGAAAGAACAGGAATAACCTGGCCAATCAAAGCTTGTGATCTGTGAGAAAATTGCTGTCAAGTTATTTTGGTGTCTCTACTTGCAGTGTTGTTACTTAGGGCATATCAGTAATGTATGAACCTGACAATGATTTACTAAAATAAATGAATAATGCATTTAAGAAATGATTAGGCGGCAACATCATGAAACTGGCAAAAACTCCAAAACAAAACAAAAAGACTGAATTGATGTCAAAGATAAATTATTCTCAGTTTAATAGCAGCCATAGGTATAGGGCTGCTGCATATATTTCCCTGAAAGAGATTTATGGAAGCAGAAAGCTCAATTCCAGGAAATAGGGAAAGAGAAACAGAGAGAGGAGCGAAGAGAAAATGGAAAGGGAGGAAGATCTGATAAGTAACTGAGGCATTCCCCTGATGGGAGGGAGATAGCTCTCTACCATCCACTCAGTAAGTGTGGGCTGAAACTCAGATAGCACGCTTAAGCAGGACAAAGTGGAGATGGAGAGCTCCCCCTTCAGCCTATATCCTGCTGGCTCCACTTTACTCTGCTCTTTGTGGATGTCAGCCTCTATGAAAGACCCTCTGCATCTTCCACCTGACACAGTGCCGAGAGGATAACCTGCCACCACGGCGAGTCCAGCGGCGTCATGATGATGCATGATCTCAAAACAGGTCAGACTGTTGCCATTATGTGTATTACATAGCAGTATATAGTGGTAGAGAGATATGTTCTCATAGTGGGAACAGTTTGCTTTTTCCCACTGGAGTTTGTTGTTCCTGAAAAAGTTCTATAAAGATTGTACAAGGAGTTTTCATTGTATTCTCGTAGTGTGATTAATTTCTTACAGAAAAACCAGAGTAGTTAGAAACCTCAAGGTGTTTCTGTTGGTGTGAGAGAGTATTAGGTGCTCCGTCCACAGCGCCTTGCCCTTGGTACCCTTCTGTCTGGACCTAACCCATGTATTGGACAGGGATTAGGCTGAGCGTCTTGTTTTGCTGCAAAATATTGCATAGCGTGCCAGGGCTGAATCCAGTTGTTGCAGCAAAGAGAGACAGAGCATGCTCATAGGAACTGAGTTGCAGTGCTGCTGTTTCTGCACAAATTTCTCAGGGAAGGTTTTTGGTTCTCATGAAAAAAAACCAGGCTGTCATTTGGTGTTCAGAGTTTGGCAACTGTATATCAAACTCATTTCAGTTCATATAAAAAGCTCCATTTGATGGTGTAAGGGTGTTTGCATTTGGGCAAACTAAACCAGTATTTTTACTTACAGCCCCCTTTTTTGTGGCTCAGCTTAAACTGACACAATGAGACATGCCTTCTTGAAGTTCACTGCAAGGAGAAACATCAATCATTCTTTGCTTTATCTGGTAAAACTCTTGACCCGATGGTTTTGAATGCTGAAATATGCAAGCCTTGAACTCCTGTCAGGATAATATATACTGCATAGTTATCAGATGATGCGTCCCTCACTGCTGTATTGCAACATTTGACTTCATAGGAGACAGAAACAACTGCAGGATGACTGAAAACACTGTCATCTTTTTAAAGTTTTGTTTTGCTCTTTGTGTTGACTTACAAAACTCTTTTAAACAAATCGTGCAACTAAATGAAACCTTCGGTGCTTCCCCACTACATAATTTAGATGGCTGTTCGGTAGCTCACGTACAGGACGTTTATTCCCCCGTCCTTTAAAAAAAAAAAGCATCGTCACAAGCTTTCAAGGAAGCTAATTTTCTCCAAACAAATGGGCCCAGTGTGCTGCATTGTTGGTACATTAGCTGGGGATGCTTCAAATTCCGTGACAAATAGTTCAGAAGTAATGCGGCTAAAACAAAAGCCTCAAAGAATGCAGATTCCTAATTAACAGGGGAGCCTGGTGCAGTGCTGCTGCCTGTATGTGCCCAGTTCAGCTCAGCAAATTATGAGTGGTCAAATCTCTGCGTGTGCGAATGCATGGGTGTGCAAGTTTTTGTTTATCTATGGATATTTAAATGCTGAATTCAATGCAGGATACATGTGATCGTAAACATGCATTTTATATACCGTTTATACTTGAAGTCATGTTTTTACATCTGCAGAATTGGATTTTTTTTCCTGTGAACTTTGCTGAAATGTCGACTCATAAATCTTTCCAGCCTGCTCTGTTTGTTTCCTCCTCCCTTTGCTGCATGGTGATGCAGTGAAGAACCACTTTCTGTTTCTATCATTCTGCGTCTGTATGGTGCTGAAACTTAGCAGCTTTCCTTCAGAGCATTCACCCCCCTCCCCACCTCCCACTGCACTATAATCATTTATTTACTACTGGCACACTTTAAGTGAACATAGTGTAAACATTTTTTTATCTCAGCAATGTGTTTATCCGTGCCTGTGTGAGTGCTTATGAAAGTGTTTAGCTTCTGCATAGCAGTATTTACCCTGTGAGCGCACAGTATTTTTCAGCTTCAGTGCTGTTAACGATGACAGTGACGATTAAAGGAAACAAAAGAGAGACAGTGAGAGAAGAATTTAATAAATCACTAGTAAAGAGTATCAACTTAAAAGGATTATTTGTTTGTTTAACCCATCATTGCTCCCAGCCTTTTTGTCTTTTGCTTGAATGAAACCATTTCTTTAAGTTGCCAGAGTCGAGACTTCAAACCTGAAATTGCATCTATGATAGCAATATATCAAATGCAATGCAAATTGCTCACCGACATTTTTTTTGTAATATTCCAACATAAAATTGTTAAAAAAAATAAGGAAAAAGTTCAACGGAAAAGAGCGATAATGATAATGAGCAGTGGCAACCTGTCCTGGATAGGCAACAAGTGAGGTACTTTAGATAAATCCAGTGAATGAGTGAAACTAAAAATACCCCAATTATTAGTTTATAAGGATGGGCAATCAGACTTTAAAGCTTGTAAGAATGAAATCATCCATTGAGTAAACCTGCTGGAAACAGGTTTCAGGGCCTGCAGCGTGGCATTATATTTGTTTAGGCTTAGTTTGACACAGTTTGTTGAGTTTGTATTCAAGGAGGATTTGAAAAATATTTTTATTTTGGTGTAAAAAGTGATTATTACCATCATTGTTTAGTCACGTGTAATTATACAACAGACAACAAATAGAAACTTGTCGTGTCATGCTTTTCAGCCCTCTCGTCACCAGTAGCTGCTGTTTGCTATTCTTTCATGTGACAGTAACATGTGTTTATGCTCTAGTTAAAGCAATGAATGGCCCATCTAATTGAAATCAATAAAGCTTGGTGGGCTGGCTTACGGAGAATGCTGAGCCCTACACTCTGTGTAAAGCTATATGAGCCTTGGCTGGCTGCAGGGCTACTGAAGATTCTTTTTTTTGCTGTTGACTGAATCATCACTGTAAGCTTATGAACTTTATGTGATATTTTTTACCCTCATCCAACAGACAGCTAGGAGTATAGAAACACAGGTGTGCAGGGAGTTGATCCAGAAGGAATATGATTAATGACTTGATACTCCTTTTCTTATTTCTCTTGGTGTTGTCTCTCCCTCTGTCCTGCAGCCACAACCTGAAGGCTACATCATTTCGGCATCCTGTGAGTGGACAGATTTCCCCTGAAAACATAGATTACACACTACAAGACAGGTGAGCTGGCCTACCTTTTTTTAAGTGAATGATGTATATGACGCTCGCTTAAATATATAAGTTAGTTTACGAACCTGAGATGGGAGTCTTTAGTGTTACTCTCCTTGAAACATGCCACAGCAGGGGAGTGCGAGTGTCTATTCTCCACTAACAAGAAGATTAAAATTGGTTGATTTCCAGTTTGTTGTTTATTAGCAACATAACCAGCAGTCCTTGTCAGAACACAAAAGGATGGGCACTGTTGTATTTGAATAAACTGAATGCATTCATCACCATTACCATGGTATTTATAACACCATAATGGAATCTATGGCAATGACACAACACTCACATCTCGCTTTGATCATATTCATATCACGTCAGGAGCCATGAATCTGACTCATCAATCTGTTATGCTAACGCTGGCTGTATTATAACAGCGAGTTATTCCGGCCCACCTGGGCTGTTTCTCTCAATGCCGTTGACACCATAAAAGCAAGCTCCTGACTGTGTGCTCACTGAATTGTTGAGAACTGTTGATTGAAAGGAGGGATTTACTAGGCGGCAACATTACTATATTGTCATGGCACGATAGTCGGATTTATTTCCTTTTATGTCATTGTGTAAATCAAGCAAGGCATTAAAGCTACACAATTCAAGGCAGCAGGTGTCTGGTTGTATTTAAGCTGTCTGGTGTAAGATGATCGTGCATACCAAATATTCCACTATAACAGCACCATGGCGGGGCACAAGCATCTGTTAAAGCAATATAAAACTGATTAAAGTGATTCATATGCATCCTCCACTGTCATTCACTTCTTAAAACTCTCCATCATCCCTTGTTCAGTCCTGCTGAGACACGGATTTGTATACCATCAAAGGGGCTTTAACGCTATGGATGCCTCACTTGCATATTTTCAACAGTAACAAAATGCCACTTCTGATCTCTTTAAGCTCATAAAAGTAAGAATAACACCTGTTTTATGTCTGCTCTACAACAACATTACAAAGATGCCACGCAAGGGAAAACACAAGTTAAGAAAAGTCAGTCATAGCATATACACTAAGTGTACGGTAATTATTTTTATTACTATAAAAGACACTGACACAATTCATACATATGCCAGTCACTGTCTGTGTGAAGTGTTGAACTGAGCTGAGGGAAACATTGCACTCAAAGCAAAATGGATGCAGCACCACAGCTAAAATCAGTAAAAGGTAGAAAATAATAGTAAAGATAGTCTTGTACAAAAGTAATTTCAATTATATTTTACTTGCAAGGAGCCAGACTGTCATTCTACCTGTCATTTTTCAGAGGAATGTTTTTTGTTTTGTTGGTTAGTCACTTAACACTGACCTGTGAATGACTAACTCAAAGGATGAATCAGTGTTATGACAACTTTAAACGGTGTCTTTCTCAGGCTGTTGCACTTTTTTCTCTGTGTGTTTGTTGAATTTATGAAAAATGTCCAACAGTTTGAAGGCATAACGTTGTTTTTTTGCACCAACAAGGTGCTTAAAGATAAATTAGCCAAAAACTTGTCATATTTCTGCACAGTGTGGAGTGTGTCCTTACAAAAATCTGAGAAAACTGGACGAATAGAGGACAGAAGAAAAAGTGACAGCCCTACAAAACTATCTACAGCAGATGGGCAGTTCCCGAAGCCATTAGAAGTCCTTAAGGAACAGAACAAAAAAACTGAGCAAAGATCAGATATATATGGCTCTTCCGCTGATCCATCTACTGTTCACTGAAGCACCATCGGTAATGGTCTCAGTGGGAAGGGTAGCTGTCAAGAAGCCATTCTTAAGGAAGGGAAATAGGGAGAAAAGGCTGATGTATGCCAAATTACACAAGAACTGTTCTGAAAATCAGTAGCAACAGGTCTGATGAAAAGATGACTCCACCAGTCCTTCAAATCGTTATCAGTATGTATGGATGAGGTCTGAAAAGAGGCATGAGCGGAGGCTCTGTCATAGTTTGGGGTTGCATTTGGTGTTGGGAATTATCAGATTTTGACTCAACATGCAGTGCTGTCTGGAAAGCATCTGATTGGCAAAAGATTTGTTTCTCAGCATGACAATGATTTTAAACACACTGCCGGTGTGTATGCAGATAGGCAAACACACAATGGAACACTATCAGTCACAGACTGGCCTCCCCAGAGTGTGGACCTTAACGTTATTGAAGAAGTGTGGATCATGTTGAATGAGGCACTCAACATCCAAAGAAGAGCAAAGTTTGCCTGAGCCAGTTTAGGCAGTGTACCAAATATTTACTTTCAAGTTTCCTTAGAATTATACAGACTCTGTCTTTTATACTATGTTTCCAAATAGGCAACATATGAGCAGTGCATCAATTTAGAAGTAATAAAAGACTGCAAGATGATACAATTTAATATTTTAGTGAAACATCATTGGACACTTCATATCTGGTAAAAGCTGCATGTCTTAGACTTTATAACAGTGTGCAACACAAGCCGCCTGTAAACTCATCCACTTGTAAAACAGGAGTGAGTGCTCTTTCAGGCCTTTTCTGCTTTTCCTCTGGATCTACTTCTACCACATGCTTTTTTATCCTTGGTCGTTGCTTGCTGATAGCTAAATTTTATTTCTCCATTTCACAGCATGCTTAAATGTTGTTGCTGGTTTTTTTTGTTCATTAGTATGTTGACATTAGGGGTTCATTCTGCTTGTAATAATACTTTAATAGGAAGTGGGTTTCTTCCATTAATAATTGACTCACTTATTCCCTGGAGATATTGAGGACAGGCAGATCAGGAAAAGGAGCTTCATGAAGCCCGGTTCCACAGAAAGGTTGATCAGACTCTGCTTTACTGGCCTGAAGTGTCAGAGTTTGTCTAGATTATTCTACCAGGATCGAGTCATTGAGTCGCATGTACACTCACTGTCTAAAAAGATAAAAAAAAAACATCTAGTCTACCTCCATTTCCATCATAGCAGAAGAAGCAGGAAGACATGGAACTTAGCGACATTCCTACTTCGACACCACACTATGTGAAATATTGCTCCTCTCATCCACATGCCACTACAAATCTCCTGGGGAACTGCTCCAATGACAGTGGTGGTAAACAGTATGAAAACTTCACATAAAACAGCAGAGTCCCCTTGATAAGACAGAAACATCCTGTAAAACTGCTGGCAGCAGTCCAAGCTTGGAGTGAACTACTGTAAGTTGTGCTCCAGTTTGACTTTCCTTTTCCCCCCCCGCTTGTTCTACCTGTATGTTTTCTTGCTTTAGTCTCTGACAGATGCCTCAGTCTTACCTACTTTTCTCTAGATTGTGTGTATTGCGGCACACAAAGGGAAAATCAGCACAAGGATCTGCTCATAACCTATTTATTGAACAATGCAGGGGGAGTTAGGACATTGTCAGGTCACATTAGTTCCTGTTGGTAAATTAGGTTCGACTAAGCACAAACTACTAGGTTACATATATAGCACAGAGGTCACCTGACTACTCATTAGTTATTCCTTCAAGGACCTGACTGATATACCAACCAGTACCAATGTTTGGTCACATAGAAATCTGATATTCGAATATATCAGCCAATATTTATTTTCTTTTAGTGGACACAAATGTTTTTTTATGACTTGTTTGGCATCATACAGATGTCACAGAGAGGAAGAGTCCTAAATTAAGTGTTTAAAGCAATCAAAAACATTTGGATCATCAGGAATGCTTGAACACACACTGACCTCATTATCTGAAGCGAAAACAGGTAGGTCACCTTTAAACATGTCACTCTCACCATCAGTAAATTTGTACATTATTGTACTTTATTGAGCCCCGTGGGGAAATGCCCATTGAAGTTGAGATGCAGTACTTTTTGGCCAAAAATGATTGAAGTTTATTTTTTCTTTACTGGTTATTACAGTGTCCATAACCATAATGCCATCACATTGTTCTGTACTTCAGGTTAAAACGCTTCTCACATTAACTGAGTTCTCTGTTAAGAAGATCTGATGCAAGTCTTGGAAAAGCTATGATGTAACATCATGTAAGGAAATGTATCATTGCATTGCTGTTGGTGGCTCTAAGCGAACTAATGTTGAGGCTGCCGAATGTAATCTTTATTGTTTTACATCTCAGAAGCATCTCAATTCTGTTCTTTTTATTATCTTTGAGGTGCGTTGCATACAGTATACAAAAATGTCAGAAGCTTCACACAAATGGCTGTAGATGCCATGTCGTTGGCCCCTATTTGTAATCTGTACTTTGACGTGATTTCTCTCCTCGGTTGTTTGCAATCAGTCAAAACTAATTAGACCGCAGTAGGTACGAGAGGAAACATTGTTGTTTCCTGGATGGAGAATATGGTAATGACACAGCAGGGAAGAGCTTGGGGCACTTGGGGTATGAAAGATGATCTTCTGTTTAAAAATCATTACAATAATTCAGAATGAGACTTTGGGAAATTTGTGCCAACAGTAAGTTATTCACTTGGCTCCTGGAGTTTTTAATGAATAAAAGAATTCTGCTTTAAAAATGTTAGTCTTTCTGTCCTAACATAGATATGCACACACACACACACACACACACACACACACACACACACACACACACACACACACACACACACACAAATCAGCCCCCTATGAATAAGCTTTAACCTGTTTTCTGTCATGCCTTTAACTCTGTGATACAAGATTTTCTTCTTTATTTTCTTGATAATTTGCTGTTGGACTCAAATATTTGGTATTGTTGTTCAGCAACAGACGCTTGTACTTGCACACTATGGTTGGCCGCAGTCCAAAATACGCTGTTTAAAGTGTCTGAATAGCTTAAAGTGTGGTGCAAGCTATTTGTTATTTGACACCAGCTTGTCTCTGGCATGTGTGACTGTGTTAGTTCTTCACGTTCCCTTTCAATATGATGATGTCATGTGTGAGGTGGGAAGTAGATTCCTTGTAAGCTGTGCGTATGTGCCATTGTTATGATTTTGTCTTTTTAGTTTGTTTTGGCTTTTGTGTGTGTGTGTGTGTGTGTGTGTGTGTGTGTGTGTGGTGTGTGCGTGCGTGCGCGTGTGTGTGTGTGCGTGTGCGCGTGTGTGTGTGCGTGCGTGCGCGCGCGTGTGCCACGAGGTGACTGCCAGGCCAAGTGTTACATGAGTTTTTCCTCACTGTTAACACATCCAGTGGAAAACCATTGGCTCTGACTGGTCTCACGTTGGTGTCAGGAAATAGTCATATCCTTTATATGTGAAAGCTCAGCAAAGGACTGCGCTCTGTTTTATTGCATGTTTGGAGCTTGTCAGAGGAGTTGAGAAGGAACAACACTGCCAGTGCTTTTCATCCTTTTTTGCATTCTGTTTTTCTTCCACGCTGTCGTCTCAAATGTAGGATAGAATCCCGTATGTCCAAGTCAGCGGCCAATCAGAGATCAGCCAACATGGTCACAGAGTCCTCCAAGGCTGTGACCTCAGCAGCAGTCGATGCTTCCTCAGGGTCAAAGGTGAGTCTCAGTGGTTCTCTGAGAAGCAAAGGCTTTAGATATACTGTAGAGCATGAACCAGTTAATGTATTACTGATCGAGATAACCTTTTGTTTTGAGTTTTAGTAAATTATGATGTTACAAATTTTAATACATTTGTTCAATTTGTCATAATATCAGGAGGTAGAACAGGTTGGCGGTTTAATGCCTTGCTCCTCCAGTCTGCATACCAAGTGTGAATGTCAGACTGAAAGTACTTAGATATAGTAAAAAGTGTATATGAATGGATGAATAAAACACAATGGATAACACGCTTTGAGTGCTAAAGCGCTATATAAGAACCAGTCCATTTTCTGTTATAGTCCAGAGATCAATTATCACATTGATTATGTGAGCCACAATTAACAGTCCAAATTTAACAAGTGTAACAAAATTTTATTTCCCCAGTTAACAAATGAGTCGACTACTATTAAGTTACAGTCAGAGAAGCTATATGTATTTAAGTTGAATAGTGCACCTCATTCATTTTGTTATTTTTTTGTTACCATGTATGTTTTTTATTTAGTGTCTTAAAAAGAAAATGATCACAAATCCTGATTTTTGTCTTTTTAAGCAACTCGTCAGCCAAACAGCCTCACATATTTACTGTATAAATGTACCTGAGAGACTGACTGACTTTGTCTAAAAATAAACTCTATTATAAGTGAACACGTGCGTCCACAGGAGTATACTTTTGGTATTTCCCTTTCTCGTTAAGGATGTTTAAAAAAAGGAGCTTCCAGGAAAGAAGGCCATTTTATTATTTTAAAGGAAAAATGATTTTTCCTTTCTAAGTAACAAAATGATGCATTTGTTTTCTCTGTACTGTGTAGGCTAGCATCACACAAAATGACTTTATATATGTTAATTTAAAATTGCCTCATGTTTTATTTTTATTTTGTTACTGATTATGTTTTTCTGTGGCTCCTGCAGGGCTCCAGAGGTACGGGGAAAGTACACAATTTTGGCAAAAGGGATCATGCTATTAAAAGAAACCTCAATATCCCAGTGGTGGTGAGAGGCTGGCTCTATAAACAGGTGAGGATATTCAGAGTGAGTCCGACAGGCAGATGTGTTATACAGGAGCACGTGTTAAAGACTGAGCAAATGTTTAAATGTGTCACGCAGTGAAATATCAGCCACAGGATTACCATCCTTCACTGTGTAAGAGGTGTAACTGTGCAGTATGGAAGCGATCTTTCTCTGTCCCTTAGCAGAACTTAAAAGCTCATATTGACCTTACAAAACCTTTAAATCTCACAATCCTTGGAAGTATAAAACTACAGTGCTGAATTAAATGTAGCAGCTGCAGCTTTCTGCCAAAGTAATCCTAATTAAAAAGCAGGTTATTCCCAAACTGCACTTTTTAATTAAAATATATTCCTGCAGGAGGATTTCTAAATATTGTTTGTATTGCGTTTCCCCCGATCCATTTCTAGGACAGCTCTGGAATGCGACTATGGAAACGGAAGTGGTTTGTTTTGTCCGACTACTGCTTGTTTTACTACAAAGGTAAGCGTACGAACAGTGCACTTGGTGAAGGGTTAACATGCAAACCTTTAGCGATCTCCTCTGCTGCCATTTTTGATTAATGACAGCCTGTAATTAGATATATGACATGCTTTTTCCACCAGCTTTTGCATCCTTATTACCTTGAGATCTCTTCTTGCGTTGCCATAGCATGTACCTTCTCTCCTTTATTAATAATACTGAATAATAGATAAGCCACATGCCCCATCATACCACATGCAGCCACATGCCCTTGCAGCATCTTGAGTCCTGCATGAGTTATGCCTCACTAATTTTCCTGCTATTCATAAATCTGCAGTCATTTGTAAACATCGTAAAAGATATTGGCAGAATTAGATGTTGTTCTGAATGCAAGTAACAATGTTGTGTGTGTGTGTGTGTTCTGATTTCACAGACAGCCGAGAGGAAACAGTACTTGGCAGCATCCCTCTGCCCAGTTATGTCATTTCGCCAGTTGAGCCTGAGGACCACATAAACCGCAAATATGCTTTCAAGGTAACACTGAAGTGGCACTGAGTCAGATCTTTAAAAGAAGTTTTCATGTCTATGTGCGGATTTCAAAACTTCATCTGAGATTATTTATTGCTGCGCTGTTATTTGTTAACAATCCTTCCCCTCACTCTGCTCACTGCAACACAGAAAGGCTGTTTGTGTGCTGCCTGGTGCCCAGATCTCATTTTCATATCTCATTTTCATATATCCATATGTTTATTGTTATTTATCGAGTTATTGTTTTGATTAGGTATGACACTTCTATACTTCAGTATCTACCAAAATGTGTCTTTACAACAGAGCATCAAAAATAGTCAGATCATACAACTGTGGAAAGAAGTTTAAATACACTCATCATGAGCATGAATGCTGTGTTATTTTTTGTTCTTTTTATCGAATTGGCACAGGGTCAGAGGTATACATACAGGATCAAAGACACTGTTAAAAAAATTTAAGGGAACACATCTCAATGGGAAAAAAGTACTGCTGAATATCTATACTGATATGGACTGGCTAATGCATTAGGAATGAAAACATGGCATATCATTTGATGGAAATAAAAATGATCAACCTACAGAGGGCTGAATTTAAAGGCACCCAGAAAATGATGTGGCAGCTATACCATTTTGTCAGAATTCCATTGCAGCACCTAAAAATGGTGCTCAGTAGTTTGTATGAGTGTCTATATGCATGCCTGACAATGTTGGAGCATGCTCCTAGTAAGACATAGATGGTGTCCTGGGGGATCTCCTCCCAGATATGGACCGGGGCATCACTGAGCTCATGACAGTCTGAGCTCATCCTGATTGCAGTCAGGGTGCCGTTGCCTAACCTGTAGAGGTCTGTGTGTCCTTCCATGGATCCACCACTAAACCGGATAATTCTCATTGTCACTGTCTCACTGTTAACCTTCTACTGCACCTATTGTTCATTTCATTAACATCAAAGTAGCTGAAATTGATTAACAAACTCCTCTGCTACTTAACAAACCAGATCAATAGCCCACAAGTGTAATTGACTTGATGCTATACTTTGATTAAAAAGTGTTCCTTTATTTTTTTTTTGAGCAGTGTATATAGATGAACTCACTTAAATCTTTGTAAAGTTGTACTGAAGACTCTCCAGTATCTTCGGCGTTGACAAGGCCAACTTCTTGTTAGTGATCATGATTGAATACAACAGGTAGTTTCTCTTTGCAGGCATACAAGGATTTTTTACACCAATCATTGAATTAACCAATACTCAGAGCAATAGGAAAGTCCAAGGAACCCATTGAAGAGCTAAGAAGGAGAATTAGAGTAGATTTACACAAATTGAGAAGGCCTCTTGGAGCGATTTCTAAACAACTGTAGATTTAAAGATTATCAGTTCAAACAACTGTATTAGGAATCATTCAGATTTGTCAGCACTTTGCCAAATTGTGGAAGAAGACCCAAAGTGTCTAACCCTAAGATGAGAGGAAATTGGTTAAAATGTTCAGGAACAACCGAGGAACCACCAAGGCTCCAGTCTGCTATGAACTGGAAGATGCTGGAGCACCAGTGTCCACAGCAAGGGAAGTTTTACTGGGAGGGGTTGTGACCAAGCAAGAAGCCCCTGCTCCAAAACTGACAGCTGCAAACTCAATTGAAATTTGAAGATGTCTTTCTTCAGTCTTCTGGAGAAACGTGTTATGGTCAGACGAGACAAAGGTGGATTTATCTGGCCACAACGACGTTAGTATGTTTAGAGTTAATGGCGATGCTTTCAAATGTAAGAATACTGTACCATCTGTCGAGCATGGTGGTACCATCATGCTCTGTGGATGTTTTCCTGACAGTGGTACTCGCACATTGTACAAAGTGGATGAAATAATGATGAAGATGGAGTACCAAATTCTTCAACTTCACCTCAAATTCACAACTACTGTATACGATTCAAACGTGGTCAAATCTGTATGTTCCAACAGGACAGTGATGCCAAACACACATCAAAACTGGTTTGGGGATGGATAAAGCAGGCTAATATTAAGCTTGAATGATGACCTTTCCAAGAGCCTCAATCCTATTTCTGGACTATGCTTAAAGGCCAAGTCTGTGCCAGGAAACCAATTAATTTAAGTGAACTCTACCAATTCTGCCAACAAGAGTGATCAAATATCCAGCCAGAATTATGCCAGAAGCTTGGTGATGGCCAAGACGTCTTATTGAGGTCCAACTTGCCAAGGGACATTTAACCAAACAGAGGGGGTATATGGATGTCTGTGCTTCTGTATGTATACTTTGATTCTGTGGATTGGAGAAAATCCAAAATACACTCAAACCTGTGCACCCAATTTCTGTTTTTTTTAAGTCATTAAATATGTATGCTGTACAATCTCTCCACCCTGGAAAAAGAACAGTTCAAAGACATCTTTAAAATTCCCCATGATATTCATGACCACAGCTGTAACTTCATTTATTAGTTGCTGAGTTGATATGAGACAGTTCTCAAAGTTCACCCATAAAAATCTATGTAAAGATTACCAAAGGTATGGATTTCATAGAGCTGCCATTGGCTGTTCCGATTTGTAAGATCAGGAGGTCATCAGAGGCGGGTGTCTGGTTATGACTAAGAAATAAATCAACAGCTTTCCATGGAACAGTTAGTACTGATCAAGCCCAACAAAAGAGACATCCAGAACACAACTGTCTCCTATTGTGCCCCACAGCAATAACATTTTTTTTTTACCATTTAAAACCGTGGAAGAGATTCAGCATGCAAGTGATTAGAATAGTGAGAAATGTCTAAAGAACACAGGAGCAGCAGTTTACCAGCAGCTAAACTTAACTGAACTTAAACTTTTTATTTATGGTATCTTTTGCAACTTCATTGTATTACATGAAGAACTAATATAGTCTCAAGAGTGGAGAAAGTTTCACTGGAACTAAACAACAGCTCCACTCTTGATTATTATGTATGTTCAGGTTTTTGCAAAACAAGTATTTTGCATGCACCTGAGGTGGTCTTAACTCAGCTTTTTTTTAATATAATTCTATAACTCGTTCTTTCTCAAGTTGTGCAGAGTGTGATGGAATTTTTGACCTCCTGGTTTCTGACCTTTTCTAGAACAAACTCAATAGCGGGGATTAGAGCGAACCGCTACAGTACAACTGTCCATGTATCAAGTACAGCAGAACTATTTCTTATCAGATTTTATCCACTATTATAAACTGAGAAGAAAAATATGTTTAGGTGTATTCAGTATTCAAAACAGTGTGTGAAGCATAAGAAAATGTTTCTGTCACCAAAATCTGAATGCTAATATAGCTAAAACTGGTGTTAATTGTATCACTTTTACTTTAATATATGTGCATGACGTTTTTCTTACATGCAACAAATATTTTGGGGTTTTTTTTCTTTTGTTTTCTTTCGTTTTTGCAAATTTTGAAAAAAAGAAGGACACAAGAAATTATGTTTCTTGTGTGTTAACATCATCTAGGTCCTCTTTGTGGAAGCACAGAGAGTCCCTCAAAGAATAATAGTGCCTGAATGTTGATGCAGCACAGCAGCATCTGGGTATTCTGTTATAATCCTTTCAGCTCTTTTGGGCTTTTTTTTCTTAGATTATCTGATTGTGAGAGCATGCCAGTGTGAATTACAATGTCTGTGCTCATGTGATATGTATGTACTGTGTTTTAAAGTTCATACAACGGGCACTGAAATTTGTATGGTAATTGCTGCTTAGAATATTAATAATGCATTCAGCATATTCGCTGTTGGGCGGGAGTGTATGTACAGTTAGGAGAAATGAGCGTTGGCTTTGCATTAATACCTTGTATTTAAGGGATCCCCCATCCCCCCACCCTTAGCTCTCCCTGTGCCATCATGCATTAAAGAGCAGGAGATTTCATTATGTGTATCTGAGGTGCTTTGGAAATTTTCAGTTACTGCTAAGCAAGCATGAAAACAGCTGAGTTGTTGTTGGTGTCCAGGAATGATATGTCTCTCTCTTAGATCTACTGACATGTAGAGTTAATTCTAGATTAATCTTTTACCTGGGTTAAAAATGATTTGAAGATGAGGCGAATAAAGTGTTCAAATTCTACTGAAAATCAGCTAAATGAGCGGTTGGATTTATAAAACTTAAGATGTTGTGTAAGGACTTTGGTGCTGTAATGCTTTGTGCTTTGATTCCACAGTCGTGTGTCAAAGCACTTACGATGCTCCCATTATTACTCATTCTTGCTTTTGTGATGACGAGGGACTCCAGCTGGAGCCATTTCTGTTCTCTCTGTTTGAATCAGCACTGATCAGCTGTGACTTTCTGTTATTTTCTGTTCTCCTGTTTTTGCTCACCTCACTGTGTTTCTCTCATTCCCTGTTGGTCAATTGCCTTCCATTGTGACCCGGTGTGTTTGCGTGGGCGGAGTGAGTACTGTTCTCTGTGGGCGGCCGTCCTGAATCACACAGGCTTCCTGTGTTACATGAATAGGTATTTGATTTCACTATAGCCTCACCAGTAGCGCACCATCTTCACCTCCATTTGTTTGCGTCTAGCTGCTGAATGCACATTTCTAAATGTGCATTTAAGCCTCATCATGGAAACGAATGACAAATCATTTATGGACAATGCCAGAGCAATCATTGCTAGATTAGACAAATCTTTTGAGTGGGAAACATTAATCGAGTGCTTTTCTTTTACATGCACCACATTTAAAACATCTATTACAGTATAAGCATTCTTCCTGGACATGAATGTTAGATATTTAGCGCAGAACTGATAACTCTTTAAAACTTAATCCACCAGTAGCACAAGAGTCAGCACTTTACCCTCAGATGTTTGTTTATAATCCAAGTTAAACTCCCATATATTTAGCAGGTTCACCAATTACTAACTTTATAAATGAGATCAATTGGCAAATGTTGATGCTCATTTTACCATTTCATCACTTTGAAAATGTAACGTAAATGCTCTGAGGCCCTGGTATTTGTCTTGTCAGGCTGCTTATTACTCATCACATTTCCATCATCGCGGGAGAGGGAGAATGGCGAGGTGTCAGCCATTTTTCTTTGCATTTCATGGAATGTATGTCGTCATTAGCAGTTTGCCATCTCCTGTACGTGTGTTTATTTTTTAATACAAGCTATGAAATTAACCCAACACAATTCTCTCCCTCTTTTTGGAAGCAGGTCTTGTTGAGTTTGCTTTGCCGTGTTTGGCCTCTAACATGTTGAGTTTTTAGTAGATTATTGAGTGATAATCATTATAATTATTAATGAATAATAATCATTTTAAATTATGAGTGCTACATAGTAAAGATCTTTCTGAACAGATCAATGAAAATAGAGACTTCTCTTATTAATAAAGTCAGCCTGAACTCAATAAACTACTTTTTTTTATTACAGGTGGCCTTCTGCTTTTCTGTTAATATGATGAATAAGGATATGTATAATTGCATTAAGTTTTTATATTTATTTTGTTTCTCATTATCAAGTGTGTTGTATTGGACTCGTTGAAGGTCATGCTCTTACAGTTCATGTGAAATAGCCAATAAATTCCTCAAAAACATTCATTCTGGAAACCTCTATAGAGTAAGAGTAAATATAGTTTTAATTTCTGTTGAGTAATTGAAGATTTAACATTTCACTTACCTCTTACTATAATATATTGTAAAAGGTAAGGAAAAGTATGTAAACAGTAGTAGGTAAAAAACACCTGTGAAACTACAAACAGCTGCTCACCCCTTGAGTGGTTTTTTATATGCGGTTATGTGTGTGCTTGTGTCTAAAGGAGTCCGTAATTCTGTTCTCTTTGTTCCTGTTTGGTTGTTCGCTGCAGCTGGTATATAATTTGTGTATTTCTAGAAGAATTTCTCTTAAAGACGGGAAGGTGTAACCTTTATGTTTTGCTTTTTGTGTTGCCAGAAACAACAGCAACATATTTTCTGCTGCAGCACTTTTTTTCCCTTCCATTCTTTTTCTGTATATTGTTGCTGTAAACTTCAGTGAGTTGGCAGCGATCATTGAACAATAAAGCACTTATCGGCCTGTCTGGCAGCTTTTTCCTGCCTTTAGTAAGACGCTCTCACGTCTATTCCCCATCTCTCTCTCTCTTTGATAGGCGAGCCATACTGGAATGCGCTCCTACATTTACAATAAGAACTCTGTGATTGGCTCACAGGCAGAACACTGCGGGATGCGGACATATTTCTTCAGTGCGGACACACAGGAGGACATGAATGGCTGGATCCGGGCCATGAACCAGGCTGCGCTGATGCAGCAGAGTCACATGATAAAGAGGTTGGTCTCACTCTACTGGGTTCAGTTGGTTGGGGTTCTAGTGCAAGTTTGCACAGAAGAACTGGATATCTATTGAGATTAGATTAAAAAAGGGACCCTGGATGTCCCGATCAAAAACAACTAGAACCTTTGCTAGTGCATCATGCTTTAAGGACTCAACAGCACTGTTATACTGCAGTCCTGAAGGTCAGATTCTTTAGTATCTATATGATTCACTAATAAAATTATGTTTTCCGTAATGGGCTGCATTGTAACTTCAGTATTCTGCAGCTGTGAGTCCAGCTGTGTCTGCAAAGTAGACTTTCTCAAATATTTAATGGAGGGCAGAAATGCTCTAAAATATATAGCCAGATACTCGCTGTATACAGAGTTATCTTACATTAGCAGGCTGTACTGCATAGCTTAAATGATCTGTGCAATGTTGCCATCTAGAGACCAATGTACATCACTACCTAATTTTTTAATAATATTTTGGAAAGTGCTCAAAATCCCATTGTTGTGTTCTTTGAAATGAAATACAAGTTATGTGAAATACCCATTAGACATTAGTGTCCATCAACTGTATGAAGTTTGTGAAACTGTAAATAACACACCAAGAAAATCCAATGTTCGGGAATAAGGATACATGTTTTAAAGTATGGAGCATTAGGTTGCAATGCATTAAAAAGGTGGTGCTCTAAACTAAAGTATTTGATGAAGATAAAGTGAGTGATATTACTCCGGTGCTCTGGGGTTTCCATTTTAGCTCCTTTGAAAATGTGCAGTTGGATATTTAATGAATAGCTCCCCGTGCTCTGGATTTGTGTCTCTGCAAATGGATTTGGAAATTACCTTTAGGACCACTTAAGGTTGATTAGAGTTCCCATTGTGTTCTCTAGCCACTGATTAATACTGTGTAATCTCATAACCCTGTAACAGTAATGTCAGGTATAATTTACCTTACATAATATACTTGATAAAACATATTATTTTCCATCAGAATATTTTGAAGTACAACATTACATGGAAAACTGAAGTACCCTTCTTTTATTTCTCCCGATGTGTATCATTAAAAAGGTGTCATGAGGGGACCTTAAACAGCCTCTAAAATTAGTGAAAACTTCCTAAAGAAAAAAAAGGGACTGGGAACTTCTCCGGTCTACTCATTCCTTCGACACAGAGTCTTTTCCAGTAAAGGCATAATCTCCCTGCATCACTGACAACTCGGGGGATATGAATAAAAATGGCATTTTTGACAGGGTAAAAATGACCAGCTGGCTATAATTTTTTTAACCATATGAATTCTCTTGGAAATTACCACTAAGTGATATTAATTCATCGTGTGGGTGAAAATCATCTGACGTCAGTGAAACTCTTTACATTTTTACTGGCAGGTTTGACATTGGTTTAAATATCATATCAATCCTATGTCATGTCTTCACAGAGAGGTGGAGAAGCCAGAGAAAGCTGCACAACAGGCAGTCCCACAGACCAACCATGTCCACACTAACCAGAGCTCATCTCAGCCAGAAAGTGCTCACAGGACAGACAGAGGGGAAGCTCAGAGCAATGGTATCAGACTGGCTCACGGAGACGAGGTGAGGTATGGATTAGAGATCCAGGGGAAACCCAGTCAGACAGCCCCACAGGAGAGAGTAGAGAGACTGTCTCCAGACGCTGTTAATGATGCTGCCCATAAGAATGGACAAAAGACTGTAATCCAAGTGGCTCTGCCACCAGAACAAAATGGAAATCTTGTCTATCAGAGGGGTTTCGTTACACGGGCAGACACTGAGAAGCATGTTCAGAGGAAGAACACGTTGGCTCAGGTGGAGCACTGGGTCAAAGTTCAAAAAGGAGACCCCCCGAAGAGGTCAGTCTGACTTCACACAATCAGTTTGACTCAACTAACATTTCTCTATAACAGCAGCATGACTAATGACAAAGAAACTTTGAGTCTATGCCTCCCTCTAGTGGCTTTTATGAGGATTCACTTATTAGATTGCTTTAATCTTTCTATTGAATTTCATTTTATCTTATTTAAAGCATTATGGCTCTATAATAGATTAAAAAAACACAGCTAAAAGATTTCCTTGTTCTTCTTTCTTTCATAGTGCTCCCTCTGCTGAGTTCAACCTCCCTCGATGGACTCCTCCCTTAAAGCCCAAATCAAGTGCAGCAGATGTCACCTATCAGTCATTGCCAAAGTCTCCCCGTCTACCCTGTGGCAGCAGCTCTCCTCCAGCAACATGCAATCTGCCCAGTGACTACAAGTACGCCCATGACCGGCTCAGCCACTTCCGTATGTCCACTGACGAGCGAATGGCCACCAAGGAGGGAATGGTGTGGCAGCTGTATGAGTGGCAGCAACGGCAGCAGTTTCGTCACGGCAGCCCCACCGCTCCTATTTACACCGGCCCCAACTTCACAGACTCCTCATCTTTCAGAGTGACTGTAGAAATGCCACGCTCCATCTCTGTTCCTCCATCACCATGTGAAGTCCCACCATCATCCTTCAAGCCCCTGTCTCCACGCAGACCACACACTCCTTCAGACAGACGCACAGTAAGGCCCTTGGATGAATTGGCACCAGGGGACAGCACAAGATCAAGCTCACCCGGGCATTTTTGTGCCCATCTTTCTCAGGTAGCACACCTAGTTAAGGAGGCGCTTAGTTTGCCTTTCTTTCAGTTAGATTTGTACATTTAGAGTATTAATTGCAGTTCTTAATACTCTAGTTCTAAAATACTCAATGGGATAAAACAGAGAACTGTGCACAGAGAAATGTTGCATTCAGTGAACAGTAATAATTTAATATCCATTTTATTAAATAAACCTGCAAATACCTGTTTTTACTTTGATTTACATGATGATAAACTGTAGTTAAGATATAATAGGTAAGAATAGTGCACGTGTCATTCCATATTTTTAATTAGCCTCCCATAGATTAAAACCAGCAAAGAACTGATTCCTCTGTGTAAGAGGACCTTTGTTAATTGGATATTAAATATTACTGGTTACATTTTCTTTTGCTTTCATCTAAAAACAAAAAGTCTTTTGACTGATTGGTTATCTAAATAATTAATTGACTAACGAATAAAATAAATGGCAGAGTAACTGAAAATAATACTTGTGTTCCCAGCTAGTTCAATTAATCTCTTCAGTGTATCTTGAATGATGGGAACAGTGGAGTTTTTGTGGATGGTGTGAAAGTAGCCGGTGTGTTGACAGTGTTGTTTCTCTCCCATAGTAAGCTTGGATGGAGACCTGCACATAGTGTTGGATGGAAAGATGAAAGTCCCACCCTTTATAAATTTATGTGCTGATACTCAGTAATTGGGCCTTAAACACTGGTGATACTGTGAGACAGTAAACAGCAGTGGCCTGTCATTGACATGGGACTGAAGTAAAACTCAGTGTTTCACATGTTCTGAGCCAAATGACAAAGGTCTCATTCTCATGGTAGCTTGTGGATATGAGGTGTCACAACTTGGAGAATGTTGTGAGCTCACAAGGACACCATGGGAAGATCGCGCGAGGAGCATGAGAAGGCTCCGACTTTACAGCGCGCACACTTTGATGCTCATGTGAATCGTTTGCAGATTCACACAGTCCACACCCAGGCCTACTCCACAGGTGGTGTGAGCGCATGCGAGTAAAAGCTCGCTACTCTGCCGTCCCCCCAAAACGTCGTAGCGCTCAGACAGCACCGCCACCGCCACAGGAGACGGAGCCCAGGAGCACGTCCTGTAATCCACACCCTGCTCTCTCTCCCCACCACACCCTCCACATGTGAAAAAAATCTCCCTCCAAACCATCACCACATTTGCCAACACACACAACCCTCATAACCAACCCGTTGGCCTTACACAAGTAAACAAAGTGTTGCAGATGCTCTGTTTCCCCTATGATTCAACCAAGTGTCAAGACTCTAATTACAACCATAAAATATAGTGACGCGCAATTATGGAAAACCCTCTAGAGGATACATTTTTAACAAAGGTAGCCACAGTGACTATGCTAGGGAGCGATGTTTATGGGAACTAAATTTAGTTGGCACTGAACTTAGTTTTGGTGCACCCAGCATCTCTGAGGCTGATGGTGCTCTCTGGCTGGAGTGCACTTAAGTAATAGCGATCTGTGTGCCTCTGCGGAATATCATTAAGAAGTATGTTTTATTAGCAGCTAATCCAATTTGCCCTGGGCTTCTCAGCACCCTATAAACATCTCTACTGTATCTCAAACATCAGCAGCGGTCTCTTTCTTCTGATCTCGCATTTAAATAAAAAACCTATTATACAGCAAAAAAATTGTGGCATGGGAATCTCAAAGGGAATGGCTTACAGTGCTTCTCTTGCTGGTAGCAAACAAATGTTATTTTAAGAAAGCAGGTTTAGTATAATTTATGTGTAGTTAATTAAATCTCTTGTTGTTTGTGTCCTTTTAAGCTTCTGTGGTGGGCCTGGTTTTCGCTAATTCTGTGTGTTAAGCAAAAACGTCAAATTTTTCCGAGCCCTGTAGCATCTGAAAACTCAGGGCACACCTTGTTTCGTATAAGAGTAGGAGTGATGAAAGCGAGAAAAGGATAGATGGAAAAAATAAATCTGCTGTGTAGTCAAATTTGTTTGCAGACTTGGAGGCAATGGTTTAACTTTGACTTAGTGTGATGAAGTGATCCATATATCACTTTCAACACACTATTGAAGATTATTTAGTAAATCAGATATTCTGTTTGATTTCATTCTATATGATCTGCGTTAACAAGTGAACGAATTGCATTTCTCCACAGAATTCCCAAATAGAGAGGAGGTCCGTGCCAGCCATGGGCTACATCACGCACACAGTCAGTGCTCCCAGCTTGCATGGCAAAACGGTATGAGCTTCTATTACATTAATATTACTTACTTGGATCAATATGAAAAATGGACTTTTTGTAATATTAACAAAGCGTTATAATAGTCTAGGAAAATGAATCCAGGTAAGAACTGGAAACGTAATTAATGGGGGCCGTCTGTGACATTATCACATGTAGAATTTGTTCCAGTGTTTTTGTTCCTGATAGCATTTCTGTTCAGACAGCACAGCAGGCCGTCCTCACATGACAGTCTTTGTTGTGTAGCTCTAGGTTTTACATTTTCAGGTATTATTAGGACACATTGTGTTAAAGGTACATGAATTATCACGAATTCATTCATGACTTCATGCATGAAAAACAATGAATTCATTAATTAAAGTAAAACCGTGTAAAAATATAACTGTATAAAGAAACTATAGGGGGAAAAGTTACTTATATCCAGAACATAAACATACACAGTTTGCTGTTATGTGTAGAGACAACACTGACTTTGGTCCCTTTTATGCTCAGATGATTCAGATGTTGTTGTTATGTGGTTCAACAAACAACAACAATAAAAACATTCCTCTAAAAATGGTCAAGGATTGGACTTAAACTGAGTGAAAAAAGCAAATGTCCACAGAAGCTTTGGAAGAGCTATTGTTCAATACTACTGAAAAAGTCTGGCTTCTTGGAAATAAAATATAAAGAAATGAGGTGTGACTCAAGACTTCTGCACAATACTGAAAATTACAAAAATGAATGTATAAAATATCTGAAATATTTGGGGGCAGGGCCAGTGTTAGATAAGAGTGAGGATGAGGTACTGGTGTTTAACATGTGTTTTTCATAAATGAATTAATGCTATTAATGTGTCCCGTTTTCTATGAATAGGTGACAATTCATGTACCTTTCACATAAAGTGTTACATTATTGGAGGCAGCAGTATACTGGTGTCTCTGCCACACTCCACAGTTACTGCAGCTCAGCCACTTTACTGCCCAGATGATTATGAAATATTTCCTCTCATCCCTCTGTGCTTTCACTGGCCCCTAAACCCGGGCTACGCTACAGCCAGAGGAGCTGACTCTGCTCCTCATTCAGCTTCGGAGGCACCAGGCCAAGATGGCTGGTGCACATAGTCCCAGCAATGCATTCGCTCACCTGCAGCACCACCAGCACAACGGCCTACTAGGCCCCAGCATGCAGGTCAGGGACCCTCATATTTCCCTAATGCAGCCCAGTGCATCCTTTGCCAGTGCATTGTGGTCCCCTGCTCCCCAGCCATTCCCATACATTACTACCCTATCATCGTTACAGACTGTGCAGTTTTCTGATTCTGCTTGGATGTCTTGTTCATTTAACCACTTTGACATGACTTGTATTGTATTAACGGTTATATATTATGGATACTCGGAGCCTTGTGTGACTGTTTGTAAACAGGGATATGCCATGTTTGGAGCATGTTGCTTGTGGCCCATGCCTGTATTTTACACTTTGCGTTGTCTCATAGATGTATAACCTTGCACAACCACAATAATGTCTGATTATCAGAACATTTCTGTGTAGTTGGGAAGCAAACACAATGCTGTAAGAGCAGCAGCGACAACTCCACCCAGTTTTTAGCAACCGACCATTCTCTGGCCATCCTCCACGCTTATGGAGAAATATAAACTCTCTGTCTGACCACATGTCATGCACATGTCTGTGTTCCTCAGTTGTGCATAAGGTCATACATGAGACATTAAACCAGATCAAAACAATTACTTGATTACTTAATTAGAGCTTGACTGTAGATAAAAATAGAGAGGTAGAAGTGCACTGTAATTGAGACCAAGTTAATTAAAGTTCTGCTAGAAAATCCCAAATAAAGGCCCTAAGTGTCATCTGATCACGCATTATCCTTTGCAGCTTCATTTCAAATGATTTATCTCTCCATTGCTCATTTAAAGGCTGATGATACTTACATACAACTGAAGAAGGACCTGGAGTATCTAGATCTGAAGGTGGGCCCCAACAAAGTAAATGGCACTTTGTCTTTTTCATCTTCTTCTCCACCTCCCCTCTCTGGACTACAATCTTGTTCTCCTGTCGCTGCCTCCAACATCTGCCTCCCTGTTTCCCTCTTTTCCTTTCTGTCCTCTGTTCTATTTCTGTCCTTTACAATGGAATTAACATTTCTCGAAACTGTCTTCTTATTGCACAAATGATCAATTTAAGGATAAAGAAAAAGATACTTTTCAGTTTTGCTTTGATAAATCCTGAAAATTGTCCAGTGAAACTGGTATAAAGTAATAATGATGCTGAAGTGTTGAAGTGTTTTATTGATGCAGCTCTGCATCAGTAAAAAAAAAAAAAAGAAAGGAAAAAAGCAAAGTGAGTTGAGGGAAGTCATCTTGTGATACGCAGTACAGCAAATAACTTTTCGCTTTCTGGGTTCAAAAGAGATCAAAAAGAGATCAGTGTGTTTGAAATGCCCACGTCATGTTTTGCTCGAATGTGAGGATGATGTGCATACAAGTGAAATAGACCATTGTACTGCTTTTTAAATGGAATGTGACGCATCCCAGTAAATTATGCAGGATCTTTACACATGAATCCCTTCATCCGATCATCCATCGTGTGATACTCACCACTGAGATTTTGAATTGCATGCTAATAAGCACCACTAACAGTACTGAATGTCTGTTTGACTTTTTGCTTTTGTTTTATTTGTTAGAGCATAACAGATGGCCTAATTAGGCTCTTTAGGAAATTTTATGTATTTTTTATGTATTAGCAAAGTAAATACGATTTTATATTATAGGCTGAGTCATAGTTTTATTGTGGTAACTGGTGGAAATGGATGAAAATGTGCAGCGGTGTAAGTTTGCTATGGTCTTCAAAAACTCCTACAGATACTTGGTAATGCACTTAATTAGAGCTGGCAAAGGGACAGACTGCAAAAAACATAGTCAAAACTTGTTTATTTTGAGTTGATTTTTGCATAGTTGGTCCTAACTCGTAAGCACCCACGCCTTTTAAACTCAGTGCCCCAAGAATGAAACTGAGACTTTCTTTTAAAAACTCAAAGTTTCCAAAGCCAAGAAAAAAATATGCTGGTGATCACTGTAATAATTTTCCCAGACTTCATGACGATCTCTCTACAACCACAGAATACATAATAAAACCTTTTCTCACAGACTGTGCAATACCCCCACAAGACTACTAATTGACCGTGACATGTAAAATAAGTGGAATGTCCCTTTAACTGAGTCTCCTATTTGCACTGGTCCATACTGCTGTTCAACGTGTGGTGACCCTAATGTGGGCGATATATGAATAATCAACCTTTTGATCTCTGAAAATTACTGACTCTGATAGAGAAGTGGCTGACAAATCTCTGCGTCATTATCTTGTGAACCTCCGGGTGCGATGCAAAGACCGGCAGTTGCTAGATACCCTGTACTATTAGCCTGATATCAGCAGAGAAAAATATCACAACTATAGTGGAGCTAGTTAAGTCTATACGTTTCTGGAAAATGACAGTTGTTTTTGTTTTTGTTTTAGTTTTTTTTTTAGTAATTTTGTTGCTACGATGGACTTTAAATTAAACCATATAGATGTCCCTGAAATGCAGACTTTCAGGAATTACATGCATTTTATGCATGGTTCCCCATTTTCACAGGCTAATTAGACAGACTAAAATAATTCTAAACCTAAGCATTGTTTTTAATACTTGGTAACATCAGGCCTGTTCACTCATTATTTCAGTACAAATTAAGCAGACAAAATATCTGGAGCTGATTCTGTGTTGAACTTGGACTTGGCTGCGGTTCACTGGTACTCTCAATATGAGGTCCAGATAAGTTGTTATTGCAGGTAAAGGAGGCCATCATGTCACTGAAAAAGAAAACTAAATCTATCACAAAGAAAAAAATTAAAATAGTTTCCAAATCTATGATCTGGTACATCCTTAAAAATAAAAAATGAACTGCCCACCTCAGCAACACAAAAAGGTTTGGAAGACACGTTTCCAACGTCCAGTCAAGCAAAAAACACTCTCGACAAGGTGGTTTAAGAGATGCCTTCATGAATGTAAATATAGAAGTTTACTGGTTACACACAGAAAAGGAGCCTGCACAGTTCTGCAGAATAAACCGCTGGACAGTAAACCACATGGTGTGCCAAAAATGGTGGAGGCAGTGTAATGGCCTGGTAGTGAAGGAAGTAGCGGGATGAATTCTGAAGAGTGTCACAATGCAGATGGCAGCATGGTGGTTAGCACGGTTGCCTCACTGCAAGACGTTGCTGGGTTCAAATCCATCACTGGTCTAGGGAGAGGTTTCAGCACCCCTGCTAGATAGGTGGAAGTGAATGGATTGAAAGCAGAAACCAAAGGGTACTTCAGTGAACCCCTAACCGATCATCTGATGATGTCCACATCACTGGCTACAACTGATTTTTTTATCCAAATGTTATAAACAATTGGACAAAAACCGCATTGTTCCTCCTGTATCCGAGGGTCCTTTCCAGCACTCTGGCATAGACTTTCCCAGGGAGGCTGAGGAGCATTTTAATAATCAACGCCTTTGTTAGGTCTCCACTTAAAAACGTTCCCATTCAAAACCATGGATGTGAAAAACAAAATCTGAAAAAAACTTTTTTCTCCCATACTGGTAATATTAAGGAGTTGTTTGTTAAGTTACAGTAATAAGCATCCTGTAAATAGCAGCGTAAGAGCTTTTTTCCAAACACAAAGATGTAGAAACTCTATCTGCATAAATGTTTGAACGAAGCTATAATAAGTTTTTTTTTTTTTCCAATTTTGTATCAGTTTTTTTTTCTTTTGTTTTCCTCCTTAGTAAACTCGGCTTAACTTGTGTATCAGTCCCATTATCTGTAAACTAGAAATATGTATCAGTTTTTTATTTTGTCATTCGTTCAACTTTAGGTTACTGGACGTGACAGTTTAAAGAAAGAAAGACCATCAAGGCCTGTGAAAATAGCAGAAAGTGATGCTGATGTAAGTAAATCATTCTGTTCTCAGGATTTACAAAAACAGTCAGATAAGCACCCTGTTTATCCTTCTCTGTTTTTCCCCTCTAAGATCTCTGTTTCCGACTTCTGACAATCCACTACAGAGAAGCAGCTGACTTTAGTCTGACTTTACTGTGTGTTTTAGTGTGGTTTGCCTGCGTGTGTGTTCTTAAGTTGTGGTAAACAGAGGCTGTAGAGGGAAGGGAACGTATTTGTGTTGCAACACTGTGGGGACACCCATCCATGCAGCACAGTGAGGGCCTGAGAGTATCAACCACAGCTTTTATTTTCCTCCCTGCAATTTAAAGGGAAAAATACATGTAATGGGAGTTTTAGATGTTGAGCTGTTAAATTTTTCAGTTTGATTTCCCAGATTCTGCTTTCCTCATTCTTTGTTTTCTGCTGAATAGAGGTAAATAAGATGGATGTCCTGGCTTTTCATCATTAGCATTGTTCCACTTTAACAATTTATAAGAAATTGCCAGTAAATTTATCGGAACAATGAATATTTCATGCAATTAAAAACAACAATATGTGGCAGCGAAAATAAAAACAGCTTAATTATTAATTGAACAGAATGATAAATAGATCTGAGAAGAAAAAAAACACTGTTTGAGAAAGACTGTGAACTAGGCAGTCTTATGTTGTTTTCATAAACACATAACCCATTTCTGGGAAAACAAATCTGTCACTCTCTGTAAACACGGCTTTCTCCAAAAGTGAATTGAAAATATGGATTCTTGATTATGATTACTCATAATGGGTATTACCAGAGCTCACCCCCAAACTAGATAGTATAGAGGCTTTTGATATCTGGCACTGCACCGATGAGAGGAATTCCTTTGAGCTTTTTACACAGATGAGCCGTATTGACAGACTGAGACGATCAATTTGTCTTATCTGGGTGCATTGTGGAATAGAGTTGAACAAAGGCAAGAATGGAAGAGTTTAACGGTGTTGGAAACAGAAGCCGTATCTAAAAATCTCAGGCACTGTTTTATCTCTTTATTTTCTGTCTACACTCTGCCGTATTATCAGAAGCGATAGGAAGAACTGAGTTTTCCTCCATTCTCACTGTTTCAATATGTTTTCTTTTAGGTGAAATTAAGTCGACTGTGTGAACAAGACAAGATTCTACAGGAGCTAGAGGCCCGGATACGCACTCTGAAAGAGGACAAGGTTTGAGTTGTATATATTTGTTTGTATTCTTGTGTGGTCTATGAAGGCTTACGTGTTTATGACAATGTTATCGTCCCCTGGTGTAGGACAAGTTAGAATCTGTGCTGGATGTTTCCCACCAGCAGATGGAGGACTACAGAGATCAGCCAGCTCATGCTGAGAAAATTGCCTATCAGCAGAAATTACTACAAGAGGACGTGGTCCATATCAGGGCTGAAATATCTCAAGTATCCACAGTAAGACCCGGGATTTGCAAGTCCATTGTGCTTATGACAAAAACTACAGCCTCCTTCTTCAGTGAAACTGGCTCAGACTTTTTCATCCAACTCTCATTTCTTCATATTCTCCTATGAAAATGTGAAATAGGTGCACTGATTTATTGAAGCATGTGCAAACATGTACATATGTGGAAATATAGAGTTTGCACAATTTTAAAAATTTTGAAAGTCAATATTTGGTATGACCACTGTTCAACACAGTCTGAACTCTCTTAGGAACGATATCTTTCTTCTTGGAGGACATAGGTCAAAGGTCAAAGGTCTTCTTTGGCTGTTGGATCCCTTTTTTTCCGTTCCGTGTTCAGATGATCCCACAGTCTTTCAGTAATGTTGATTTCTGGGCTCTGGGGAGACCAATCCATGACCGGTAGTGTTCTTTTGTGTGATTTTTATATCTGTATGCTTTTGCTACACTCGCAGTGTGTTTGGCATCATTGCCGTGCAAAACAAATGACAGCTACCCTTCCAGTGAGACCATTTCAGGCTTCAGTGAACAGGAGATGGTACAGCAGAAGGACCAGATGTATGTTTCATGTCCTGTGTCGGGTCTTTGATTTGTTTTCTAGATTATTTTCTTAAGAGCACGGCTTTCAGATATTATTCATCTGCTATAGATAGGTCTTTTTTGCCCTACCACTTCTTCTTCTTTTGTTCTCTACTACTTATTTCCTCTCATTGTTTAAGGAAACCCTGTACACCATTTTTGAGATAAAATGAGTTTTTGGCTAGTACAATTTTTTGAAAAACCTTGTTTTGACATTTGACACTGATGTTTTGGCAGGTAAGGGATCAAACTACTCAGGCTCTTACAGTAAGCACATGCTACTAAAGAAATGTTTTATTGGTTGAAAACAAGATGTTCGCTTCTATTTTTAGTTGTTCCTTTTTTATGGTTTCTGCAACTGGCACAATGTTTCAGGATGACTGTCACTATCAAAATGAGTGCTTAGGGACAAACCTACGGCTACAAAGAAATGAGTAGATTTCTCAGCCACTCAGAAAAAAAAATATTTGGTCAAAAAGTTCACTGATATTCAAAATATTTAGTGTTGAAATGAAAATTACGAGTTTCAAAAGAACATTCACAAATAAACCGCAAGATTATATGAAAGCAAACAAATGTGTCTTTGGCTTAAAGACATTTCCAGGCATTGGTTGTAGTCTGTCAGTGCACACTGCAATTTAAAAAAAAAAAAGAAGTGATAAATCATAAAAATCACCACTTAACACACCTGGTCTTAACTGCAGCTCACATACACGCCACTAAAACAGCTTTTTATTCACAAGCTAAGTACAGTGTGTGAACACTGTTTTTTTGGCATTGTAACACAGAGCGTGATGTGTTTTGTTCTTTAGGAGATGGAAAATGCATGGAATGAGTACAGCCAGCTTGAGAGGGACGTGGACTGGCTGAAGTCGGCCCTGCAGGGACAGATGAGCCGCTGTGATCTTTCTCAGGTCTGTGGCTCAGTGATCTCCATTAACTCCCGCAAGCAGTCGCTCGCTTTGAATGGGAATGAGCTAAATACTGCTGATGTCATATACTCAGACAAAGCAAAGAACTGGTTCAGAGGATCGTGTGTTGGATTCTAATTAAAATCTGTAAAATATGAAAATGTGTCTGTATGCGTCTGTGTGTGTGTGTGGTTCTGTGTTTCTATGTGAGCAGCAAGAGAAGGTCCAGATCAGAAAGGAGCTTTGGAGGATTGAGGATGTTATCGCAGGTCTCAGCAGCAGTAAAGCCAACTACAAAGTCACCATCTCCTCTGTTACCAACCCAGGTGAGGCAAGCGCTATAGGTTCCATGTCTACAAAGCAAATCGCTGTGGACCTGCGACTGTATCTTCTCATTAAAGCCTGCAGTCATATTTTTGTTACCAATCCCTTGAATGTTTCCCATAGGAAACTAAAAGTGCTGTCTTTACAGCATGTGTGTATTATTGTCATGTGATCATCCGCATCATATTCCCCAGAGAGGAAATTTGTGCCTTCGGTGTCAGTGTCATCAGTGCCTTCTGTGTCTGGGAGCGCGTCTGCTATGGAGATGAGATTGTCCCAGCAGCAGCAGCAGCACAGCCCCCACCTCAGTCCCAGTAGCCACACCCCCACCCTTTCCTCTAGTCTCAGCCAGCAGCCATTACACCATTCTACAGCTGTCATCAGTGGGCCTAAGTGGGTAAGTGAGTAAACTTAAGCTGGTTTGTGTTGGTTTGTTTAATCATGTGCTCTCTGCATTTGTGTGTTCAGCTTTGGTTGGTTAAATACACAGAAGTGCATTTTGTAGTCTGTGATTTTCAACTTCCCTTTTTTCTAGTTGGAGGTTTTCAACAAGCCATTAGCACTTTCCTTAAAATGAGTCTATTTACCCCTGTTGATCAATGAACTGAATGAAGTGTCAGGAAATAGAGAAATGTGAAATAATGTCCAAAAGTCCAAGAAAAAAAGTGAATATTTACCTTATTTGGCCACTAATTAGCCAAGTAATAAATGTAAGTAAACATTTTTGCTGGTGCTCATGCATCTTTGCATAAAACAAACTGAGTGAGTTAAGAAGATGACATTCAGTTCACTTTTATAGAGCTGTTTTAATCTCGTTATACTATGTATAATGACAATAAAGGCTTTCAATTCAATTCAAGTACGCCCAGCTGGAATGGAACAAGAAAAATGCAGTTAGGGCTGTAACCTCAGTGTTTGGTGTTTTTGAATAATTTGTTGTAAGATAAGCTAAGATGTAATTTTCTCAATTTGCTTTTTAAATTGTGCAAGACAAATGTATAAAAGTAACACTGAGCCCCGTTTAATCAACATTACAAGATAAACTAAGATATATTACATTTGTGACAAAATTTCCAAAACTGTTAAAAACTATTATATTTAATCTAATTATAGTTATCCAAACTGCATAACATCACAGGTGTTGTCTGTAGTGTTACTGGAATCTTAAAGAAAAATTGCCACGTGCTTATGTTGCAATCATATAACAATTTTGAAAATTGCTGCTTACCAAATTGTGACCAAATGCAAACTTTGTATTATGGTTTAGGCTTGAAGTCTGTGGATTTGGTCAGTTTTCCCTGGTTTCCTTCCACAGTCGAAAAAAAATTCTAGGTTAGGTTAATTTTTTTGAATCTGTTCCCTGAGTCCAAGGTGTACTGCCTCCCTCACCTAATCTCAGCTGGAATAAGCTGCAGTGACACTAGCTGGATAAGCAGTCAAGAAAATTGATGGATTATTAAGTGCAGAAAAATAATTAATGTGTATTTCAAAGTTTAAACGTTTTGGAAATGTATTATCTTTGTCATTAATCCTGCTTTGTTTATACCAATGTGTGATGGAAGTCAAAGTGTAACAGCATTTCTATGACTGTATACTGTGTAATCTGTGTCATAGCCACTGTCATCAGGCTCTACAGTCTATAGAGTTACTTGCTCAGGAACTCTTCATCTTGGTATTCGGGGTCCTTGCAAGGCTAGAGTCCTTCTTCAGTTGTTTTCAGTGGTTCACATTTATTCTGTGCGCAGAATGAGGAAGATGTGCCTCCCAGACCTCCTCTACCTCAGCTCTACAGTCCCGATGAGCATCCCCCCGCTGTGCCTCCCTTGCCCCGGGAGACAACAGTCATCAGACACACCTCTGTACGTGGCCTCAAACGTCAGTCAGACGAACGTAAAAGGGACCGAGAGACTGGGCAGTACACAAACGGGGACGGCAAGGTACGCAGAGCTTGTGTGTATTGCTGTGTTTGCATTTTTAATGTCATGTTGTTTCTAATTTAAATCCACTCGTATATGTCAGGTGGAACTCAGGCCTTTCCTGAGTGATCCAGAACTCATGGGAGCTGGTGATGGCTCCAGTCACATTAGTGTTGTAACACCTGGGCATGACGGAGGTTACAAGACATTACCGAGCAGAGGTACATAGACAACAGTCAGTTCATCCCGCCAAAATGCTTTAGAATATTGTTTAAGATGAGAACAGACTTCTAACATCTGTGGTCTTCCCCTCAGGAACGGGCGGATCTTCACTTAGGTTAAATCAGTCTTCGAGCATCTCCTCATACGTTACCCTCCGAAGAGCAACGTCAGCAGTTGGCATAAAGGTGGGGGTAACAACAGAGTGAACATGTCACTCCAACCCCAGATTATATTCATTTATAATATTAATAAGACTTAATCAAGCATTTTAAAAGCAATTTAACAGCACTGTATAATTAAAAAAATGCTATTTTAGTCATATTTCCACCAGTCTAAAGTCTGCCATGTGTTTGCTCTTGTTATCATCTTTCTCTCTTCCCACTCGTCTCAGGAGAGACCAAAAAGTGCCTTGGAGCGTCTGTACGCTGTGGACCCGGCGCAGCAGCAGCAGAGGGGGAAGATGAGCGCTGATGAGCAGCTGGAGAGGATGAAGAGGCACCAGAAGGCCCTCGTCCGCCAGCGCAAACGCACCCTGAGTCACGGAGACCGCCACGCCGCTTCGTCGTCACGCACGTCATCCTCACGCTCACTTTCAGCAGACTTGGGATCAGTATGTTACTAGAGCAGCATCACACGTCACACTCTCACGCACGACGACAACCAAACTGAGAGTGGCGGTCTACAGCAGTAATGCATGGCTGTGTTGAGTGCAGTGGGTCTCGTCTCTGCTTCTCTTGTTACCAAGTTTATATTAAACTATTAAGTTAGTGCGGTATGGCATTTCACTGTGTGGCTCTATCTGTGCTTATTCAGCACGTGTTGTTTTCAGGCTTCAGTAGGTCTTTTTCGCCAAAGTCATTTGGCCTAAAGAACCCATTCAGTTGAGTTGCAGACTTGGATCCCTTTAAGAAAAAAATATTATGACTTAGGAGGAGAATGTGGTCTCCAAGTGCCTTTCTGGTGTGCTTGTCCTAAATGCCCTTCGGTAAAAAAGACCTATACAGATAAGTAGATACGTTTCTGGTCTACAACAAGCTGCAGCATTAAAAGTAGCACACATATATAACTGTTTAAGTGTTCATTATGAGGTGCAGATAATAACATTTACATTAAATAGTGATGATTTTGTTTTCTTTTTCAAAATCTTTACAAGATGAGATCTTGGCTATAAAACATATAACATATTAATGACCTCAGTCACTGCATTTCTCCCTTTTCTCTGCTATGGATTCTAACTTTGCTTTATCCATCATTTCTCACCCTTCCTCACTGACCTGTTCATTTTTCTTTCACATCAACACTATCCTACCACATTGATTTCTAACCCGTTGAAGTGTTTTGTGCTGTCACATAGCAGCCGTCTTGTCTCTCCTCGTGTAGATATTAAAGCCAGCTCTTCCATGTGTCCATGCTGTTGCTGTCCATATATGTGTGTCTGCATGTGTGCGTGTGTGTGTGTGAGGCAGAGAGAAGGAAAGTGCCTACTTATATTCTACTGACCAAAACATTTACGTACACTGAGCATTACATTCTTAAGCCCACTCTTGTCAATGTCATCGCACCATTTTTCTCACCTGATTTTTTTGTTTGTTTGTTTTAAATTTAAATGAAGATAAAACTGAAATCATATGTTTTATAGATTGGGACCAACTCTTGTCCCATTTAACACTTTTCCTGGGCAATGCTGATGTACTGATACTAACAGCACATTACATATCGCAACATACAGTGAGTTAGGTGATTGCATCATGTGCTCAGTGTTTTATCTGCTAATTACTGTTGGCTAGAGGAATCCTTCCTTTTACAAATGTGACTGCAAAAAATAAAAAATATTTTCTAAAGAACTCATTGGCATGTTTTTTTTTAATTTATTGCATTTTTTTCTGTAAACATGTATAACTTTCTTATGTTTGTTGAATTTGTCATCAGTTTGAGTGAAGTGTTGTGTTCTTGTCACACTTGTAGAGTTCTAGCATGCTGTGTTTTGAGATCTTTCATATCAGCATGCATACTCATTTATGCATGTGCCCTCTTTTTTTTTTTTACCTTTTCACACTTGTACACACACACACACACACACACACACACACACACACACACACATTTGGACATTGTACATTGCAAGTAAAAACCCTCTGCAATCTTTAATATCATGTTAGGAATAGGACGAGCATGTGTGCCATGAATATAACCACGAAGGCAAGTGAAAGAAGTTTCACTTTTTCTTTTAGTCAAGAAAACTTGGTGGCAGCACCCTGTCCTTTGTTTCACAGTCTACATTTTTCCTGTGTGCGTTGTCCAGTGGAAGAGAGAGCAGGAGTTTGACCTGCAGTTACTCGAGAGGGCGGTTCAGGGGGAGGAGGCTCAGGGAGTTAGGAGTGTCCAGGGGGAGGAAAGACCTCCCGAGCACAAAGAGAGACCCCGCTCGCATTCGGATGAATGGCTGACCTTCCGCTCCATGGCCACAACCCCCCCTCCCACCCATGAGGTTGACCTGGAACCTCTGGACTATGACCTGGACCTTAACAAAGAGGTATTTTTTTTTTTCATTTTTTAAAAATAAGAAATACAGCTGACTAGGAAAAATGTCAACATAGGAATAACATGAAAGGGGGAAAACAGTGCACTGAACGTTAAAAAGGAGGCTACTCACCCCAAAAAGGAGTTTTTCTTTTATAAAATGAATACTGAAAGTGAATAAAAAGAAATATTTACAGAAGGAATATTTAAAATGATGGGAGGCGCCACAACCAAGCCCTTTTTTTAATATTCTCATGGATTGGATTTCGTGGATTGTGCTGCTGATCTTTAAATTCTCAGATGACATTTTTTTTCTGTTTGTTTACTTTTTCTTGGTATTTCTCTCCCATTTTTGAGGAAAATAAAATAAACTTGATTTTAAAAATACCTAACTGTATCAAATGGGACACAACAGATTTCCAGTCAATAAATGTCACTCGTCTTTTTTTGCTGATTGGCTGGTAGAAGTCAATACTGGTCGATACTGATGTTCCACTGATATTTTGATGAATCCCTAAAAGGCATATACTGAAAGGTTTTATCATGTTTAAAGAATATGTTAAAATGAGCAACAGATAAACAGCACCTGCACCAGCAAACGTGGCACATAATTAATAATTTCCTACACAATGCTGTCGTGAGGCAGCCTGATTAGACTGGCTGACAAACTTGCTGCTGAAATTATGGAAAAAGCATCAGAAAGTATTGCAGCACTGTTTCTACATAGGTATTGAAGAAATGAGCTATAGGCTGGATGCTGGCGGTATAAAGTATGCATTAGTATGCGACAGATAAACGTCATTGTGTGAAGCTATACAAGTGCTGAAACTTTCTGCCTGTACTAAAATGAAAATAGCATTTTAAAGATACTTCAGGGCACATCTCTGCATATTTAGTCTCCATATTTTATTACAGTTTGTCCTATGCTTATTTGATCATTTTCAGGATTACAAATCTTCAACTTGCGTAGTGAACTCGTATATCATTTTTGACCTCACAGTAGAGATCACAATAAAGTGGCAAACATCTTAATTCACACACTGCATCTGTGTTCTAGCTGTCCAAACCTCAGAAAGTGTCGATTCCAGAGCGCTACGTGGACTCGGAGCCTGAGGAGCCACTCAGTCCTCAAGAAGTGGAGGAGCGTCATCGTAAGGTGGAGCGTATCAAAAGCATCTTGGCAAAGTCCAGGTAGATGAAGTGTAACTAAATAAACCCTGAAGTTACATTGGAGTGTTACTCAACTCTGATGTTTTAGGAGAGTAGTGTTTCCATACTACTAGTCAAGCAAATGCAATCAGTTTCAAGGCCCTGAAGATTCTGGACTATAGGACTGTAAAAAAAAAAGCATTGAGTCACCCCTAATTTCTTTATATTTTGGACCCTAGGATTCAGGCTTTCTTGTAATTTTTTAAGGATCTTGAGCAACAAACAGCCTTTCTTTCAAAGTTTTTCTTTACAGACTGGCTGCGTTTTTACTCATTTTCAGTGAAGTCTTTGTACCTCACCATTTGTAAAAGGATGTGTTTTTTGTTAGGCCATTTAACACTGATGTATATGAATCAAATATTTTTTTAAAGCAACCTAACTCAAGGTATTATTCAGTTTTGTTTCTACACATAACAACTTTGGAAGACACATTTTTAAATTGTATCTTTAGGTGCTTTGTTACTAGCAGCCCAATTTATTCTCATTTATTTAATAGAATCTGCAAAAATGCCACAGATAACACAGTCTGAGTGTCATAAAAAAGTGTTCTTGTACCAACAAGGTAATTCCCAAAGAATTATTAGCCAAGGTATGCATATCATGCATGTTGCACAGAGTGTCCTTAAAACATTTAAGATGCATTGGCAGAACTAAAAAGCTATCTACAGCAGAATAACAGTATCTGAAAGTCATACCGTTAAGAAAAAGGGAAAAAAATCCATCAAATACCTGACACAGGAGAGATGCATATGTCCTTTCAATCCATCAGGACGTCATTCCTAAGGAAGGGAAAGAGGAAGAAAAGACTGAGGTATGCCAAGTTACACAAGAACTGGACTGAAACCCAGAAACAACAGGTATTATAGGGAGATTGATTCAAATTTGAAATTTTTGTTTCACATCCTACTCCACCATATGCAAGGTACAAACTTTGAGATTTACAAAAGTGAGTGCGTGTAAAACACAGTGGAGGCTCTGTCATGATGTGAAGCTGTATTTCAGCCAGTGTTAGTGAGGATTTTATTCAATTAGATGGAAATGTCAATCAGAAAAGAACCATCAGATTTTGATTCACCATGTACTACCATCTGGAAAGCATCTGATTTGTAATTTCTTTATTTTTGAGCATGACAGTGATCCCAAACACACTGTCAGTGCAGTAAAAGCATGATTGATGACTGATGGCATCATCAGTCATGGATTGGCCTCCACAGAGCTTCAGCTTTACTGAAGCAGTGATCTAGGGAATAGGACAAAAGTCAACCGACATCCAAGCAGGAGCTTTGAATATCTTCATTCATAAAATCATGTTTGATTAGGTCACAGCACCTATTGCTCATATTCCTAGCAAAATATAAAGAAATGAGGGGTGTCCAAGATTTTTGGACAGTTTGGTATATCTCAGGCTTCTTTTTGACCTCCCTCTAGGGTCCTTCCACATTTCTATGGTGTGTGAGATTTTTGTTCATTTGTTGCTTTCATTCTTTTCTTTTACAGTGTGCAAAACCTAGCACCAGCGGTGTCTGCGGAGAAGCCAGAAGAGGTGCCAGTGGCGCTCGACTCAGCTCTGCAGGAACAGGAGCGGATCATCACCATGTCCTACGCTCTCGCCTCAGAGGCTTCGCTCAAGAGCAAACTTGTTGCAGGTTGGTCTCTCATCTAATTTGAAACCATTATCTGCCTATTTGAACCGTGAGTGTGAAAAATCATTGCAAAAAAAAAAAAAATGCTGAAAAAAATAATAATTCCACACAAGCTGACGGCTTGAGTGGAATTCCTTCTGGGATCATATTGACATATTTTTGTTGAAGAAGGGATAAAGAGAGAGGGAAGCAGTCTTTCAAGAATTCTGGATTGATGAGGTGGGGCGTAAGGTGCAGAGTCAAGCAATAAGGCTTTTCATTTCCTAATAAGTGAACGTTATTCCTTACTAGGATCTAAGATAGTCTCTAATTGCAATCCATGTAGGATCTTTTAGGCTGGGGAGGAATCGCTTGATGAGGCCATTTTGTGATCTGATCAATGACCCAGTCAAACTCTACTCCACATCTGCATACTGTTGCTGCCGCTTTGAACGTAGCTCTGAACCTGCATAAAAGACACTGCGCCCACATCTCATCTCTTTCATACTCTACAGCAGACAGGCGAGTTAATTTTCACTGTAGCTGCAGCAGATTGTCAGTCTGCCTGCCTCGCACGCACACACACACACACCTATGCACACACATATATATCTGTCACACACGGTAAGACTCAAGCTGTCAGCGTGTGAGGAAGTTTAATATGCACAGTGAAGCAAAGTCAACAATTATAACATTATTTCCAGCATAGAGAAATGCCAGAGAATATAACTGGTGGCATCTTGTCAGTGGAGACTGAATCAATGACTTTCTCTTCCTTTGGTGTTAAAGTGAGGTATGTTGGTGCACTTTCAAATCCTTGAATTAAAAGAAGAGTCTTTTCCATAGTATTATGCATGAGAGACATCAGTAACTCCAGCATAAAAGCAGGAATATCTGTCGCTGCAATATCACATACGTGTGGTATTTATTGCAAAGGTGTTTTCATTGTTGGATTTTTTAAAATTCTTTGTATTCATTGGATCTCGTCAAATCTGTAATTTTGTACAGGGAAATGATTAATGAGCTACAAAGTTATCTTCTTGTTCAGTGCCTCTTGTTTTTTTGTATATAAGCAGATTAATTAAAAATGAATATTAACCAGTCCTAATCACGTTATGATGACCTATTAAAAAACGTTTTTTTACATTTGCATTTACATCTACATTTTCAGATTTCTTTAGTATACTTCATTGCTATTGAAGTTGGGTGATATGTATATGTATATATACATGCATGTATTCACTATTGTTTAAAAAATGCACTATTAATTTGTTTAAGTGCTGTTTGAAATGACTAAAATTTCCCCCAAAACTGATCCAATTTTATCGAAAAATCTTTTTAACATTTAAGAAGACCAATATAATAAAAAACCATAAGCAGTGTTATTGGACTAATCCATATTTCCCATCCCGAGTGTAATAGATGCACAACATAGAAACTGTAAGTACAGTTAAAAAGTTTCATGCTTATATTTCTTTTCAGGAAAACATGAATATGAAACTATTTCACTCTTTTGGCTTCTAACAACAAATGTTCCTTCTCTCTTTTTCCCCCCCCTCTTGCCCTCTCTCCATAGTTCCTCCACAGGTTAACGTCCTAACACCTCCTCCCCCACCCCCTCCTCCACCTCCTCCTCTTCCTCCCGTTTCTCTGGCGCCTCCTTCTCCTCTGAACAACGGAATTCACTACACATTTGTCTAGTCAGAAACATGAAGTAAGGCCTAAGTGCACGCTTTGCGGTGCTAATGCTTCTTGCTAATTCCCCCCCCAAAACAAGGTGTTCTTGCGTGCTTCGCACCTCGCCGCATGCTCACCGCGCCGTCATGATTGTCGGAAACACATCTCCTCTAGGTTAGGGAAGCCCTGCCTCTGCTCCCATTATAATCAAAACAAACATCTGCAGGCAGTCTGCTCATCCCACTGTGATAATTGTGTGTAAATCTTTTTTTGTACCACTGCCAAAATATTTATGGATGGCTGTGCAAAGAAAGGGCTCAAACGAACACGACTGTTTGTAGCATTGTGTATAATTAACAAAAGAGACACCTTTTGATTTAGCACCTTGACAGTTCAGCAGTCAGCACAGCTGCATTCCTCAGCACCAATTAGCTCCCCATCTGTAGCCTGGCAGAAGAAAATCTACATATCACTGTTGTTACTGTAAATGCACAAATAAAGCTCGTGTCATTTCACTGCTTTATTTAAAAAAAAAAACTTCTGTCCATCACCCAGTACTTGATGCCACAGATATTTTAATGCTATTTCCTGTTTAAAGGTATTTTTCCTGTACTAACCATATCAGCCATCTTTTGACAAATAGACGCACGTAAAATAATCAGATCCCAAAACAGTAAACGAAGACTCGCAATAACAAACACGTATATGAACTTTAACTTGCAGAGCAATGCAGCATTCATGTGGCTCTGAAAGCGTGGAATAGTTTCTTTTCAGAACTGCACAATGTGGATGTGAGATACTATCTACTCATGTCGCTGCATGCTTTCTTTATATTCTGGGTTTGCTTTCGGAGGTGAGCTTTAATGCGCAGTCGGGTTGTGAAAGTTAAGAATATTACATGCACGGCACTTGTTTCTTCACAAAAACCCCTCGCATGTAACATTTTGCATGTTAGTTTTAATCTGCATGTTGGGCAGCATGAAGTTATGCATGCACCGCGGTGAAAGCCCTGTTATTATCGCTGTCTGATAATACCTTTAATGATTGGCCTCTAACTGCCCTTTAATAATGTGCAGGTATGTTATATCTTTACAAAGCTACTTTTTAAGAAGGGACTGTTAAGTAACCCCACCCCAACATAAAAAACTGAAACACACTGTTACTTTATCCAATTTTGTAGTTTTTTGTTTTTATTGTGTTTATGATATTTACTTTCCTTGTGCTTACTTTTTCCTCTCTCTCATCACTTCCCAGCTCAAGCAATTTCTGGACACTGAGGTGCTATTTCACACTGACAACAATCCACTGGGTTTTCAAAGCAAAGAGGATTTTTGTTTGATTCGGGACATTTTTATATGCAGCAACAGAAAAACGGTAGCGACGCCTTGAACTTGCTCTCTGAGATGTATGCAGCAACAACTAACTGAGGTGTTTCAAAGCTGCTGAAAGCAACTTTCTATAGAAAACCTGAGGACTTCGCTGTGGCTGTGGCTGTGGCTGTGCTTATCAAATATGGAAATGTCTAAAAAAAAAATGTTAATCTCATAATAGTAAAATGACATTTTCTACAAGTTATCGCACTTTTAACTGTGCACTGTATCATATTTTCAAGACACGACTGAATTGCTTCTTGCAGTGTGATCGCAACTGAAAAACTCAAATGGAATGTGAAGAGCGAGAAGGTACTAAATGCGTCACGATGATAGTATTTTTGTCAACACTCAGATAATATTCTTAAACCAAACCACTTGAAATCTCATATGTATGTACTTGTAGCACTGCCAGTCCCCTTTAGGCTTGCCAAAATAAATTTTATTTTTGCTTACATCGGGATGAAAATAACCTCGAACATATTTTTTGTGTGACTTGAGAAGGTCGAGCAATGAAAGTTTATAAAAAAAATGTGAATATTAAAGTTATTAACACAACATTTGCTTTGTCGCACATGTGTTCATTTCATTGATTTTATTTCTACGAGGTTGGCTCGAATGAGTCGAGCACCACGTACAATGGCCTCAAGCTTCAGACTACGTACAAAAACATGTAAAAATCTTTTGTTTTTTTCAAGGGAACTTTAAAACTCTACCGCGGTTTTCGCTCGACTTCTCCAGGCATAACAAATACCCAAATGTCTGCTAGAGTAGGCTAAGGCACCCTGACACAGTGGGCCCCTGTGATGTTCGATTGTGCCTCTGCGGAGAATAGCGCAGTAGGTTAGTGCAGAATTCAGTGTCCTGAATCCAAACAGAGCATTTCAGCGCTTTCAAGCAGACTCCCGCTGAGTACGAGAAAGTGCATCAGTGTCCCGATCCTTTTTTTCTCGCAACATTATCTGGAGCTTATGAGTGCAAACGACTTATGAAACATTTCCCTTGCCGCATTAGTGGCGCAGGTCTTTGTGGCACAGCTGGCATCGCCTTTTGATGTTACACCAAATATCAAAACTCAGTGGTGTGTTCACCCAAACAAATCAGCCCACTGCAGAAATACCAGGGGCAAAGCTGTAATATGGCTGTAAAGTCTTCTGTACAGTAGCTGCCACACTGTACAAGAGAGAGAGAGAGCATCTCCGAAGACACTAAAGTTGTTTTAGCTGATGTTTCCTGTGGGATGTTGGTATTCCTCCACAACTAGTTCAGACCTGATTTTACCTTTGACATGTGAAAGAGGTACCTTAAAAAAAGTTCTTGCAGTGATGGACAGTTTATTCTCCCCCCGTTTGAGAACCTCAAACGGCAGGAACCGAACACATTTTGTGACTTTAGCTTTTAACCTACAGGAGCCTTTGGTCTTTATTTGATTTCACTGATGCCGTTTATTGACTGTATCTTTATTCAAATCATGTACAAAGGGAAATTACAAAATATATCTGCATCGCTCCAAGATTCTCTTTGAACCTTCACATTGATTGCCGTGACCTATTAAACTTCATTCTATTATTTGAAAAGGGAACCAAACTATGGCATGCTCAAAGGAGGTGAACTTCCAATACAAAAAAAGAAAGAGAGAGGCTTCTTGAAATGTTTCTTAAGTTCAAAGCTTTTTCCATCTCAAAAGGGCATTTTTAATTCCGTGTATTTTCAACCAAGAAGGTGGATACTAATAACTCTGGATTCTGAAGTACAGAATTCATATCTTTAAATCATGAACTACGTCTCCATTGCAATTGTAAAAGAAACCTCTGAGAAATGCATGTGTTGAACTTCGGATTCAAAAGGAAAAATAATGCAGAGAATATGTTTTTAAATGGAAAGCTCAACTGCGCCGTTATTACCAAATACTGCAGTTTCCAGCACAAATATTTATCACGTTACATTTATCATGACTCGTCCCGCTGCAGCTGTAGGATGTGATGCGCACACTTTGCCCTCGCCCTCCTCTGCATGGCGAGCCTTTGTGTTGCAGCTCCCTCCCAAGTGACATCTTTATCTTTAATTGGAGAGTAATTACTTTTACTCATCCGCATCACAGTGTGCTTTAAAAACACCTGAGAGAGAGAGAGGGGATGCACCCCCCGCCTACCCACCCCACCCTCCAGCAGCTACATCCTTTCTGCTTCCATCTTGATCCTCCAGGATCAGGGCCCCACAGAGCACGCTGGCCCTGGTGGCTAGAAGACCAATCACATCCACTGTTCTGCTTATTTTGCAATAAGATGGGATGTTTTCCCCTCCTCTTGCAAAAAATTCACCCAAGACCCTCCACCGAGGATTGTGGCATTTCCATGTATTGACGTTTGGCTGGCGGTTCATATACATTTGTTATTCTATGCTCTGGACTTCAAAGAGAATGAAAGAGGGCCTATTATGCTAATTGGGTCATGTTCTGTTAAACGCAATCAAGGCCTCCCGCATTAATCCTTTACTAAATACTTACTGGCTTCAGAAGTGATTTTTTTTTTCCACAAGAAGAAAAACCGCTGCTCAGCGTCCTGACAGAAATGTTTGCTAGAGAGTAGCTTTTATACAAGAAAATAAAATGTCTCACTTAAAATCCAAGCATAAAAGAGCCTCGCGCAAGTGTTTACAGTGCTCTTCAGATGGCATTGATTAGGTTAAGGCTTTGACTTTTTGTTGCTTTTTTTTTTTAAAGGCCTTTGCTTGAAAGAGAGAGAGCCTCTTGACACCACGCTGAGCAGTCTGACCTTGTTCTCAGGTCTGTGTTCTTCACTACAGCGCACAATGCATTTGTAACATATTCATAGTTTTCCTGTGACATGAAGAAGAAAGGAGAAATCCGCCTGCGATTCCCAGTGATACCTATTTCAATCACATAAATATTATTGTTACAGTGAATAAGAATTAGGCTACAGTGGAAAACCCAGCTGGTGCCTCCTTTGCACACTGTGGGGATCCGGATTGTAGTCCAATTGTACAAATACAAAACCAAGAAAGCCCATGCAATAGGTGCTTTGATTTCAAAATAGTATTTTATGCTGTTTTATCATTTTCAAGTTCCACATACGGTACATTTTTTAATATGTAAGAAATGGAATTTGTTGAATAATTGAAGAGCTAGGAATCACTGAATATTCTTCCCAACGTGTGTGCACGCTATATAAAGAATAGAGGGAAAGCTGAATAACATTCATGCTGCACCGCATTGGCCCAGCTTTCCCCAAAAAGAAAACTTCCTATTTTTGAATTGTTTTATGTTGAAGCCACTTTGTTAGTTTTTTAATGTTTTTTTAAAACAATGGGATCATCAGAGAGGTACAAATGTTTATTACGTATTGAGGCATTTCTTTATTGGCCTATTATAGACAACACAATTCCTCCAACATGAATCATTAAGTGAATGTTGAAAAGGTGCTGTGTTACGCTAAACAATGAATTAATCTCATGTTTCCCTAAACGGAAAGCTTTTACAATACCTACAGTGAATGAGTTTTTTGTACATAAAAGCAATTACTTTGCAAATGAACCAAATGCCCCTGGGCCTCGTCTTTAGTCTAGCAGCTCCATGTACACATACACACTTAAATAAGTGAAATTTACTGCATTCAGTGAGAATGCTGTGCATCTTGGATCTTCAGAGCTACGTAACAAAAAGATCATGACATATCACTATTTAAATTTTTTTAATAAGTCTATCAGCATTAAAATGGTAGGACATTTACTTTGCAGCTTGAAAAATGTGTTTTGCTGAAAGATATAACAGCTGTGGAAAAATTAAATTCTTCGGAGTAATCTGTGTTATACTCGCTCGCATAACCAGATTTCTGACTGTACCTCAAATAAGACAGTGCAGGTAACGTGTTCAGAAGCACTTTAAATGTACAGTACCGCACATCACTGACCATCATACATGAGTTGTATGTGTACATTTGTAGCGTTGTTGGCACAGGCAGCGTGATGATGTCGCTCATCACTACATCATTAGAACTGGCATGTTGCACTCCTTATTTCGACATGATTTATCAGGGGTTCGCTGTTAACTTGAAAGGAAATATTAGATCCTGACTAAACTTTGATGAAATCCAGAGTTACAAGTAAGAGATTTGGGTCAACTAATGAGAACAGCGCATCCCACGTTGCAAGTCCAGTTGGGATAGATCATTTGCATGTATGCAAATAGTGTTTGAGTTAATTGCTATATCTGGCATTCAGTAAGCTATGTTGGTTGGGCGGACACTGATCACTTACAGCTGAACCTTGTCGGCGTTTTTAACTGATCATCTAACCAATGGTAGGTAAGGGTCTTAGTCACTGAATATCTTACAGTTTCTCATACATTTACATTTTTTTATAGAACACAAAATATAAACTGTATTAATAGATAGAAAAGAAACTTAAGAAACTGTATTTATTGCAACATTTTGGAGTCACTTACTGCGCCCAGTGTCATGGAAGTAACAGCTGAGCAGAACTACCAGCATTTACTTTTTACCTAGACCACCAAACCTGCATGCACAACTACTTGCAAAGTGCATTAAAAATGAAAAGCAAAGGCGTGTCTGCACATTTCTGCCTGCACATTTCCAAATGTAAGATGGATTAGGATTATATGAAGGTGGCACTGTTTAGATTTTTTTTAATATTAAAAATAGGGCTATATACTACATTATCAAGCAAATATTACCCATTTATACACCCGTCATGGGTGTAGATATTAAACAAGTGCTTAAAATTGCTGTGTATCTACGTATAACTGCAACAAGCACTTATTGTCTGTGCACTGCTCATAAATATGGGGTTAAAACAAACTTGTATGTGTCAAAGGAGATCCCATGTCCAGAGACAGACACCTAAACTGCTGTAGAATGAAAAGTAAATGGTTTAAAGTAGAACTTTTAAAATCTTCCTTTGGAATTTTGATAATTTTGGCTGCTCATTGAGATACTAATGACTGTATTCCTAAGCATGAATCAGCTGCACACCTTTGAAACCTCCTCTGGTTGCAGTGTAATCAAAGCAGCCCCCCCCCCCCCCCCCCCCCCCCAATCCTCACTCACTGACTCAATGGTGTTCTCTAATTAACCATGCAGAACAGGAGAAGAACACATGTTAATTTAATGTAACAAAAATGTTGATTTTCATGCACTCTCCTTTTCAAATATTTATGGGCTAGACTTGAATTTCAAGATGCATCAAAGACTCACAGGGTATGCAAATGTGTCTGCCTTACCCCCCAACAAGTTGGACTGTCTTTTGCTCTTCACACAGGCTTCGCGCACTACCATCTGAGCTATAAAGAGGAAGCCATTACAGTCACCTCTGTAAAAGTAGCCTATATTTGTATTTAGAGAACTATCTGGCACTTGCGGGCACCTGTTCAGCTGCACAATCATCTGTCACTGAACAGAGCAAAGTCTGGAAATAAATACACGTTAAACAAATGTAATGACTCATATTGTTTTGCACCCTTTTTTTTTTTTCTTTTAACCCTACTCACACTGTCACTTTTGAAGCAGCAACAATGGAAACCGGTGGTAATGCCATTGCACTCCTTATTGCCGTTTGGTCAATGTTAACCAAATAAAAATTGAACGTCCAACTTTAAAAACAAAGATCAATAAATAAAATAAAGGTGTTTTCCCTAAATGCACTGATTGTCTGTCTTTAAAGAGATTTTTTTTCCTTGCAGGTGAGCTTCACACAGTGACCAAAAGGTGGCGCATGAGACACATCCAACACACGTTCAAGTGCAAGCGGTGAAAGAAAAAACTCCGCTCGTTAAAGAAGGTACACTAACAGCAGGAACAACACAGAATCATCATGTATGCATCCGGAAAAACACGGTGTCAGACTGTTATAGGATCATATGCAATTTTATGGTGCAAAGCTTTTTACTCTGTATGATTTTTATTAAATTTGGTGATGTGAATCAGATCGTTATAGCTTTAGAAGAGGGGCTCAGGTTAAAAGTGTGACAGTAGAAAAGTTTCAGTGTTAAAGGTAAGTCTTTATCTATTTATTCGTAGCTAAATGTAAACTTTGACATTTCGCACACTGCCGGGAAAAAAAAAGTTAATACTTAACTTGCAGGCTATCAGTGTTGTAGAAGTTCAGTGGAGAAAAGCATGCAGTGTGTGCATTGTAACGCGCACAGGAGCATTTTGAAGGTCTTTGATGTAGATGTGGTGTTGGTGTGTTTTGCTTCACCTGGAACAGCAAGAAAGGGAAAGTGAGACGCTCAGGACTCGCATCTGTCGCGAAGTTGTTCTCTCTCTCTGCCTCACTCTCTTTCTCTCCCTCCCTCTCACCCCCCCCCCCCCTCTCTCCTCTGTCACTCTCTCTCTCTTCCTCTGCTTCCCCTCCTTCTTTCAGCTCAGCTCATGTCATTCTGCAGTTAACAATCAGAATTTTCTTCTGCTGTCTCCTGTCTTTGTAAGTAACTTTCTCATTTCTATTATGTGACACTTATGGCATGTTAACTAACGGACTTCTACCTTTTATTAATATTATTATGATTATGATTATTTGTATTTTCTGCTGGTCACAAAATGTTGCTGATGTTTTTCAAAGCTACAACGTTGTCAGATCTCTCTCTCCTCTTTTTAAATTAAATTACATTTTTTTAATATGTGCACGTTTCTACCGAGATTCCTTTTTTGAATGATAGCTGTGGGCCTCATCCAAACCCAGCTGATTATCTAAAACATATGCTCTGTTCGTGACAGATAAATTCCTCTCAGTAAAATCTTTTGTTATTGCAAGTGAGGGTCTGCCTGTAAGGTCCCAGTAGCTGGATTTTTGAGTAATATCAGATGTCAACTTACATTTGCTGAATCTGTTTAAAAAAATGAGGTGTTTTGTATTTCAGCTGTATCCAGTCTAACCTGCTAATCAATAGCTCTGCGTTAACGTACTGATGGTACATAATGGTTATTTTATTTTTAGTTTCTGTGTTAAAACTTAAGAACAAATACACCAAAACTACAGTAAAATGTCGTTTATGAAAGTAAAACTTAAACGTAACGCTTCGAACAATTTTCCATTATTTTCTAACGTTATACTGGTCAATATATAAATTTGTGTGTGTTTGTTTTTAATTATTTACAAAATAATATATACATGTATATCAAAATTCTGAAATAAGTGTGTAAATTTAATCAGTAAGACAGTCACCGACAAGTCTTTTATTTTTTGACACGTTTTTATAAAATGTAATAATTCACTTGTGTTCCAGTAAGTATATATCGTGACAATACTTGCATGTACTTAATTGACTGGCAAGAAATGCGCGTATGATGAAATAAATAAATAATATTTTTTTAAAATCTACACAAAAAAATCAAAAATGCATAATGTGAGACTCAGTCAATTAAATTAGAAATAATCTGAAGAGGAAGAAGAAGCTGCAGCCTTCTGGATGGTGTGAAAATGAAAACTAGGCGTATAGGACACCGTGACAAACTATAAAGAACACCGAATCTAATGCTGCTATATTTTAAACGGTGATGTAATTCACACAAATACATGCTGTTGTATCACAAAACTTAAGTAAATAAAAATAAAACAGCCTATCGCTCACCTGATCTCGTCACCTATACTCACAGATGACCGCATTTTCCTCTTAAGAAACAATAGTAATAATTATAATAAACTTTGACTGAAGTGGGAGGGGTCGCTGAATTACTCGTTTCCTAACGAGACAAATGAAAAAAAAAGTGTCACTGAAGAAAAACTCTGGGGTGGAAAGGTCGCCCTTAAGTTTTCAGTTGTTGTGTAGCTTGTAAGTGGTGTTAATTTAAGTAAGCTTATTAAACTTACTAAAAGCGGGCAGTAAGCTAACAGCCATCCTCCCTGTCTCCACTTTTATTTCGCCACCTCTCTCTCTCGCGCTCTCTCTCTCGCTCTCTCTCTCTCTCTCTCTCTCTCTCTCCCGTATCTCTTGTCTGGGAGGAGGAGGGGGAGTCCTGCCTCTTTGCCTTCCTCAGATCAATGCCCTGGCCACTCACTTTCTGATGTTGCACGACGGGAAATGCTTTGAATACTTGCGACATGGCTGCGCGCATTGATTGCCAAGATTGACAGCATCGTCTTCTCTTGTCTGAGTGTGTGAGAGAGGGAGATAAAGACCAGATAGACGGTTAACAAAAGGTACTTGTAGTTTTGTACAACTGAACTTCACAGAGAGTGGACGGGATCCCCTCCTATGGCCCCGAGTGAGCAGACTTAAGTTTTCGCTCAACAGATAGCTCGGTGATCATTTTCAGTAAAGTATAGCCGAGACTAGTTGCTGTTCTTTGCGCACGGGGAAGGACGCAAAAGTAGGCAATCATCAGCACGGCTCACACCAACAAGGTAAACAACACGTTTTCTCTACTTTTCCAACATGCCTCCTTCTCCTTATATTTCCACCTTGTGTTTAATTGCTGATTCCTTAAAGGCGAGCGCGCTGTCAGCGCGAGCGATCACACAACCTTGCGCGCGTTTTGCTTTAAAACTACTATTATTGTTTTTTATTTTATTTTTACAAAGTAAACTGTGTGCAAAGCTTTCTCGAGTCGGTACATTTTGAGACTCGGAGAATGACTGTCAAACTTTAATCACTGAGACTGTCTGGTGCGTCGCTTTCACCTCAAACAAGCCAAGTCTACACGCGAGACGAGAGTGACGCGTGAAGTGCTGGTTGGAAGTGGCTCTGGTGACCTCGTAATTCGTAAAAAGCGCGTTTACTGAACTTTATCACAAGTAAACTCTGCGGCAGCCCGATTCATCGCTCGCAGCTTTAAAATCATCTTCTTTTTCTTCTCCCTTTCAGCAGCGGGGAGCGTGCGGGCGGACTCAGGCTGCACGGTGCAATCTGCAGCGCTTAGACCAACCCCGACCGCTGCCACCGATAACGTTTCAACTATCTATCGTTGCCGAGTGTTGATTCTTAATCAGCTATTAAATGTTTGATGGTTGGTTGCGGTGTTCTGTGCGTGTTTACAGCGCCCTGTAACTTTGTTCTGCTGGTGGCAGTTTCCCTTCTGTCCACAGAGCGGTACCGTTCATTGACAGTGACGTGCGTCCCGGTAGGTTCCTGTCCACATGTGAGGTAGACAAGTTTATTTGAACCTTCCGCTTATGTCTCATTATACCCTCGTGCATCCAGAACCTTTGTTGCCTGAAGTTATCAGACCCCCACTAATCTTTTTTTTTTTCTTCCTGTCCGAAACCTCGGAGTTTCTTGAAGCCGTGCAGCCTGGGAATTTGCTCTTCCTTAACTTTCTCCGGGGGTCAGGGGAATTGACCCCAAAAGAATGCATAAGCCATAAATTAAATTCAACAATCGCGGGGCTTGTCCATTTAGAGAAGATGTACTCGAACAGACAGTTTTCCATTTAAGCCGAAATATCTGAAGCTCCTCGCTCCCGGGATAAACGGAACAGAAGTTCCATTGTGAGAACTGTACATGTGTCCATTAGGAGATATTTTCTCACCTTTTATGTGTTTGTTGCCGCAAGACAGTTCCAGCAATGAATAGTAAGGCCTTCCAGTATAAAATGGTTTTTTTTTTTAGATATTTAGAGACGCCAGATTTTGGTCATATTTTAGGATACTAAAAAGCACTTAAATTTCAGACACACTGCTCATTGAGGAAATATTTAATTTTGCACGCACGTCAATTGATTTTGCAGGTTTATGAAAAATTGAAGATTTCCTAAAATATCACTCCAAGATCATTAATTTCGGCAGCAGCGGGTGTAGAGTGCCCCCTCATTTTAAGACGTTTTTCAAAATTAGACACACTCCCTGAGTAAAAAAAAAAAAACAAAAAAAAAAAAAACAGCACTCTGAGGCTACTGCGGGACTTCTAATAACATTTTAATAAGACGGGAATCCACTATGACAACAGTTTAAACCCCCCCCCCCCCCCCCCCTTCTGTTTCTTCTTCTTCTTCTTCTGTGTTTTCAGCGCCGAGCACGTGCATTTTTCGTCCACACAAGCGACACACCTGTGGCTAATTAATGACACTGTAATTAACTCCGGCACCCCCCCCCCCCCCCCCCCCCCCCCGTTTTAAGACCTCAAACCCAGATAGCCCTCCCGCGCATTACTATTATTATTTTTGCCACAGTGATAAGAACACTCGGTAGTCCGCTCCTCCGCCCAAGTAAAGTTTTTAGTCCGTGTGGCATTTTGTTTTGCACAGTTGCTCTTACTGTGGCTGTTTACGCACGTTTCCTCATAAGGTAAGCCGGTTCTGGAGACCAAATGCAAGTCTAAATGGCACATTTATAATTAGACTGCCCATTCAGCACATTGTCCTGATTGCTATACAGGGACACTCGGCTCTGTCTCTATAAGAGTTTGTCTCTGACGGCTTGTGCAGCTCAGCGTGTCGCTCAGCAAAAGAGCGAGAGAGGGAAGAGTGAAAAGCGGCATTAGAGCTTTTTGATGCCAGCCGCGCTGGCTTTTATTGAACCTTTCTCACTTATTTTTCCACATGAGAACTACCGGCAACTTAATTAATGACCTACTGCACAATTGGTACATGCAGCTCAAATGTGCATTATAGTCGAAGGAATGTGAAGTGTAACTAATTTTGGCAGTGTGATCCCCTTGAAATATTCACTGTATTTCTTTTTAAATCAATACTGCCACTGACATGTGCGCATTTATTTCACTGAAATTGGAAACAAATCTATTAAAACTCAACTAATCTGTGTATTTGTATGTTTCTCTGATACATAATACAGGGCAATAAAATCTTATGTAATGTTGCCTGGCCTTGCACCTTTCCTGTATTTTCAAAGACTAATCTGCGTTTTGATATTGGGGTGAGACTTGAGCTTTTTTGCAAGACTGAGAAATAAGGCAGCATTTCCCACCTGGACTCAGCATAAGATGTAGGGTCGCTAACACTGATCTGCCAGTAAGTTCAAAGTTTTTTAGGACCTACAGTTTGGCATGAAGGGAGGAAGCCTCACTAGCTGCTGCTCTGTCCATGTCCAGTGTCTCCAGTATTGCATGACATGGTGATTTTATATTTATATAATTTATATTTGTTTTACTGAGTGGAAGAGAAATGATGAGGCCATTTTAAAATGAGTTCAGACAAAAAAAACACAAACTGAATAAACCTCAAATCTTGCCTTTAACTGTCCTCATACACAGGTAGGATTTATTATTATTATCATTATTATTATTATTATAATTTAAAGCTCTTGAGCCAGCAATTCGTGGGATCAAAGAAAAAGATGGGAGCGAGTGAGAGGGAAGGAGGGCGAGAAAAGGGGCGCTGAAAGAAATGTGCTTCATGTGATGCTGTGAATATTAATGTCTTGCTCATATATGTGATTATCTGATTATTAACGGTTGATTCTGTTAACGCAGAGGGTACATTTGGCATAACTGTAAAGGGGGGGAGGGGGGAAGAAAAAGTCCCCGTCTCAGTGATGATATATCTTACCCATGTTATGTTATTTTAATGCTTAAAAAACTGTTATTTAACTCCAAGCCACACACTCATGCAAATGAAGGTGCTGGTGTGTGTAGGTTTCGTTTTACGGCCTTGCTCTTCTGCGAACAGTCTCACTCGGAGTGTGTTCCCTTGCCAAAATGAATTCTTTAATGATATTACAACCAATTCCGCTCACGATAAGCTGATTTGACACGCGCACAAGGAAAATAAAATGCACTCGCAGCGACATATCTCTTTATTCAGAAATGCAAATAATATTTTGCCACATGCAAACTGTGCAGTGTCGTGAATGACGATAACAATATGTGTATGAGTGTGTGCAGATTATTTCATAAAAAAGTTGAGTTTGTAATGAGGTGGCTCCGCTCCGCTCGGCTCGAGTTCTTTAACTTTCCATTTCTTTTCAATTGTTCTTGTTGTACTGTTATGTTATTTATCCTGTGTGTGTGTGTGTGTGTGTGTGTGTGTGTGTGTGTGTGTGTGTGTGTGTGTGTGTGTGCGAGAGAGAGAGAGAGAGAGAGAGAAGGGCGGGGGGCTTGGCATGCCTGCATACATGTGGACACTCTGCAAGAATGGCTTTACTCTTGCAACAGATAAAACTACTGTTGACTGTGATCTGAAATGTCAAAACCCAAAAAGTCACTACATCTCTCTCAACACACATATCATCACTGGGACTTTGGACACTTGTCTTTCCATTTGTACTGTTTTTTTTTTTTTGGGGGGGGGGGGTTTACAAAAAACAGCTATTTTATTCCAAGTGACAGGTCAAGAGTAGACTGTGGTCTGGGAGAGGGGAAGCTATAGCTAGGACCTAATGATAAACAGGATAAGAGGAGGTAAAGAACAGCAGGCCTGGTAAAGTTTGAGGCGAGGCGGGGGACTGTTGAAGGACCGCAGGAGTTAATGAATGTGGCAGCACGTGTTGTGACATCTGTCTTTCTAAGTGTTATCTAATTTGCTGCACAATCTTCCAACAATGATAAGAAGCGGTGCCATAGCATTTTCTTTTGGCAATTTTACCCTTCAACAACGAGTTCTTGACAACTTAGTAACACGCCACTAATTAATGTCACTAAATTAATTATGGCTCTTCGCTGTTTAGAAAATTGTCAGCTCTCACAGGCAAAAATACCGATGCTATCAAGGGTCAGTGGAGCCAGAAAGAGCGGACAGTGGGGCATCACCTCCATCAAGTCAGCCTCTTAAATGAAAAGCTGTGATAATGTGGAGCCAGGCAGACACATGCGAGCGAGTGTAGTACACCAGCTGTTTCAAAAGGCATCTTAAGGTTCCTCATTTGAAATTTCGCACAGCTTTGGCTGTTACATTGCCTCAATCTGAATGAGAGAGGTTTTTTTAATATTGTGCTTTTTTTCAAGAACACAGGTTCCTTTAATGTCAAAGATTCAACTTTATTGTGTGCTATTTCTTGTTTATTTTTTACTACTAACACATATGTGCGCCAACACTTACTGAACCTCAACAAAGGCAGCAGCGGTTTTTCCCTCTGCTCTGTTAGATCTCAGTGTCCCCCTGGCTGCTCTAAGTGAACGGTATTGCTGACATTACAAGATTACAGATTAAAAAAAATAAAAATAAAACCTAAATATGTGTATCATCACAGGAACTGTATAATTGCACAAGTAATGTAAGTGGCCCATTTTGATCTGCATCATTCACTCTCCCACCGAATATGTTTTTCTCAAAATAATTGGACATTTTCTTTCAGTCCATAGCATAGTTGTGCATAATTAAGTTTGACTTCAAAATGCAACAGTCTAGGCTATGGTAAGTAGCCTTTGTTGATTTTTTTTTTTTAAATCACCCATTAATATGTAGAATTAATTGGAAAGGCGTTGGTGGCCGCATTTCTCTGACACAGGTCTG